TCGACCAACTCTGTCCACATCCCCTGTGCTTCCTGGGTTTTCCCTCCTGCCTCAGCTGAAACAAAATAGCTCCCTGAGACTGAAGTATCAGAGGAAGCTCTGTGGGGAGAGTCCGCGGAGGGGGAGGAGGGTAACCTGTGAACAGAAGATTCCAGAAAGAACGGGACCTGCTGCAGGGCTAGGCCTTCAGTGATGTGGGGAGGTTGCAATGTTGCAGATCCATCACCAAGTTATACTTAAGCTTGGCGTACCATTAGTCCACTTAATAGCCACTCTTTGCCCTCTGTCTCTGACTTGACACTGTGGACCACTGAGAGAAACCTTTTGGGATGTGTAGAATTTTCAGACAGTTTCTCCCCACAAAAGCCAAGACTGTCATCAGGGAGCACCTGAGTTCCATGGTCACAGCGCCCACCTCATACATCCACAATGCCCTTGAAAACTGTTTACTCATCAAGCCCCGTGTTCTGTTACCATGGACACATCACGGGGCACTCTCCATATGGTAACATGGAATTTGGAGTCGTCTGACTCTGTGTTCCTGGGCCACGGTCACACACACTTGGCTCTAGAATGAACTGTCCCTTGTCCCCTCCGAGGTGGCACCGGTGTCATATACTGAAGATCACAAGGTACCTCTGGTTTTTCCCAGTCTCCTCTGGGTCTAAATCCCCCACTGCTGTCCGTGTCCTCATTCACATATGTTTACGTTTCTGGATGAAGTACACTTGTCCTGTAATTCACCATTTCCTAATTTAATACGCTAACATTGCAATCTAGATGAAGCTGACTGTGTTTGCATGTCCCATGATCTTTCTCTGTGTCACTGTGATGGTGTGAGCCTCAGGTCCCCTCCGTACACTAATTGTAAGGGAGGGAGATGGACAATGATAAGCCGTATGAATGTCTGCTACACAGTGTTGTCAGGACAAAAATAATCAGAAAAACGGCCCTGCTTCTTTAGTGCTAATAGGATTCTCCTCCTGTACCACCATCGGGAGCTCGTCCCCCGCTCTGCACGGGTCAGGGTGCAGACACCAGCACAGCCCACAATTCCCGCAGCTCACACTGTCAGGCCCCTGCTGAGGTGCCTGTGAATCCCTGTGTAACAGACACTAAGAGAACATTGTCCTGAGATACAGCAAAGTTGATTTATGTGGAGTTTGGCAAAAACAGCTGAGAATGGAGTTCTCGCTAAGTCTCCCTGCCCCTCACACACAGAACTGTCACCATCTACAGACAAGAAGAGACGGAATCAGGGACACCCGCGTGTAATTCAGCTGTTGGGGAAAATTCCACAGCTGGGATGAGCCTTTATCTCACCGCCAGGACGTTCACCTCCAGCCGGTGATTCCTCCAGGGTGTGCAGCTGACAGCTGCGGTGTGAAAACAGAACCAGAGTCCTGGGACAGCTGTGTTAGAATCTCAGTTTCCCCCATGGATTTCAGCCTGGGTGGACGGAGGCAGACAGACAGACAGACATCCTGGGAGGACAGCCCCGCCCTCATGACTTACTCTCACCCCCTTTCTACTCTAGTTGAGCCCCGGGTGACCGTGTACCCGACAAAGACACAGCCTCAGGAGCACCACAACCTCCTGGTCTGCTCTGTGAGCAGCTTCTACCCCGGCCACATTGAAGTCAGATGGTTCCGGAATGGCCAGGAGGAGAAGGCTGGGGTCGTGTCCACGGGCCTGATCCGGAATGGAGACTGGACCTTCCAGATCCTGGTGATGCTGGAGACGGTTCCTCAGAGTGGAGAGGTTTACACCTGCCAGGTGGAGCATCCCAGCCTGAGCAGCCCTGACACAGTGGAGTGGAGTGAGTGGGAATCCCCTGTCCATTGGAGTCCCCGCCCACCAGGGAGGGGCGTGGCTTACCCCGCCTATCAGCTCTCTCGGCCCACAAACTGTTTGCACTGGTCTGTGCTGACCCCTCCTTCAGCATGGCTCACAGGGTAGGTGTGTGATCTACAGCACCTTGGCCCCCTGGGAAGCAGTTTTGCCAACACACACTCTTCTGAGCCTTCCAGTGACACCACAGCCCAGGGACCTGCTTGTCCCTGGCTGCAGCCTCTGCCTCTGGCTGCGCTGTGTTTCTGCTGCTGCTCATGGAGATGATGGACAAGGAGCAGCATGGGGTCATGGCTGACCTCAGGGGCGTCCAGTCTCAGCTCTGCCTGTGCTTAGCTCTGTCACCCTAGGACGGTGCAGCCTCAGAGCTCAGAGGCTTCCTGTCAGCTCAGCTCAGGGCGGCCATGTAAAGTCTCTTCATGCTGTGACCCTCTTGCTGTTTGATTTCTTTCCAACATCAGCAGGGTGTTCAATTCCTGCTCTTCTAGAAGAGGCTTCTTCCCCAGTCTCTAAGCTCTGAGTCTCAAGGTCCCAAGGGGAAAAGAAAATTTGTGTGAAAACCTCTAGCCCTGGCTTCATTTCTCAGGGGCACAGTCCACATCTGCACAGAACAAGATGCTCAGTGGAATCGGGGGCTTCGTGCTGGGTCCGCTCTTCTTCATGCTGGGGCTGTTCATCTACTTCAGGAACCAGCAAGGTAAGGAGCCTGGTGTTGGCTGAGACCCCATAGCATTTCAGGGAAGAGCCATGCTTTGTTCTTGGGATGTCACCGGGTGTGACCTCAGGTTTCAATCAACTCTGTACCCAACAGTCTGGGTTACTGGATTGAACCCCAGGGAAAGCTAAGGCGATTCTGACTTGAGACCTGGGAACAGAGGAAGAGAGAAGGACAGGCACTGGGCCGTGTGCCTGAGGCTTCCTGAGCCGTCTCTCTGTCCTCAGTCTGCTCTGTCCTGACTGCTGTGGGCTGTGGTGCCAGAGGAATCTCAGGTGTCAGCTCAGAGTCTGGGGACATGTGTCTGGGGACAGATCTCCCTCCATGCACTTAAGTGTCTACTTTATTCTCTCTTCTAGGACAGTCTGGGCTTCAGCCGACAGGTACAGATCTGCTTTCCCTACAATGTGGGGCTGGGTTGATGGGCACCAGACACAAACACCAGGGAAGGCATAGACCCCAGGGCCTGGCACAGCGGTTTGCACTGAGCCGTGTTCCCTGGGCTTACAGAAGGCCTGTGCACTGCAGCAGCCTTGACTTGGGGCGTGAGACATTCTCTGTGCTCACTTCCATGAGTCAGGAGAGGCCTGAGGGGGTGAGAGAAGCCACTGCAGAGTGAGGTCTGGAAACACCTCTGTCCCTGTGCTCTGCAGGACTCCTGACTGACTGAGGTGACAAGGCTGAAGGAAGGAGCTTCCCATCTCCATGGCTTGAAATTGTGTCCAGTCTGTCTTGACCTCCTCCATTGGCAGTGCTCCTCTAGGACCTGGCTCCTCCTGGCTCTGGATTCTGTAGACTTGTGTTCCCTGTTCAGCCCCTGGCCCCAGCCTGGTATCTCCCTTCGGACAGAAGCTCCCCTCCCTGCACCTGCCCTTTGTCTGGTGTGCCTGAGCCCATCTGCTGCCACAATGCCTGCTGTCTTGGATGGTTTTGTGTCAACCTGACACAAGCTAAGTCATCAGAGGAGGGAATTTCCATCGAGATATTGCCTCCATAAGACTGAGCTACAGGCAATCCTGCAGGGCATTTTCTTAATTAGTGATTGATACTTGAAGTTGCATGGTGCCTTCCCTGGGCTGGTGGTCCTGGGCTCTATAAGAAAGCAGGCCGAGAAAGCCATGAGGAGTGAGCCAATGAGCAGCTCCCTCCATGGCCTCTGCATCAGCTCCTGCTGTCTGGTTTCTGCCCTGCGTGAGTTCCTGTCCTGACTTCCTTCAATAATGGGCTGTGTGGTAGCGTGAAGGTAATCAATCCCCGCAAGCTCATAGGTGATGGGGGACATCCTTCTGTGTATATGTTGATAAATAAAGCACTGTTGGCCAATAGGGAAGCAAGATAGGTGGGACTAGGATTCAAGGAGAATTCTGGGAAATGTAGTCAAGAGTGGGGAGTCGCAATGTGATCACGGGAAAAGAGGACACATGAGGCTGCGTCCCTGCAAGGATAAGTCCTTATAAAAATATATATTAGCAATTACGGATTATTAGTTAAGTCAGAGCTAGCCATTAGGAAGCCAGTAGCAAACGGCCAACAGCTTCATAATTGATACGGTGTCTCGTGCATCATTTGGGGGCTGAGACAGTGGCAGGACCCAGGAGGCTGGCAGAAAGAGCGCATGTTACACATAGGGAGTGGCACTTCTGTATATACGTTTCTCTTATTGGTTGATGAATGAAACACTGATTGTCCAATAGCCAGACCGAAAGCATCGATGCGGCTACCAGACCAGAAGAAGACTAGGGAGAGGAAGGGAGAGGGAGAGGCCCGCACGGAGACGCCATGCTGCTGAAGGAGTCACATGCTGGGTTACGGGTAAGCCACGCCTCGTGGCAATACATAGCTCAATAGAAACTGATTAATAATGAAGAGAGAGCTAGCCAGTAAGATGCCCTAACCATCAGCCAACAGTTTATAAAGTATTATAAGTCTCTGTGTGTTTGTTTGGGGCTAAGCGGCCGTGGGACCAGGCAGGACAGGAACCTCCATCTTCAGGCACCACTAGGTGGTATGGTCTTGTTGGAGGAAGGATACAGGCCACCCCAATTAAAAGTTTTTTTTTCCTTTATAAGAGTTGTTGTAGTGCTGTGCCCAGATTCTGGAACCCCCAGAATCACCAAGAGACCGGTTCCGATGCAAAGGCTAAGAGCCTTTTATTGTTGTTTAATGAGCTAACTGCATTAGCTCAGGCCCTTTGTCTGTTCACCATGGCCAAAGGCAGGAGGAAGACCCTGAGGAAAATTATTGGGGTGCATAAGGGGAGTGTCTAGGGGTACACAACAGTCTCAGGATTGGTGCGCTTCTGCGCTTGGACGACCTGTCCCGTGCTGATTGGCCAACTGGTTGTTATGGCCTATAGGCCCTCCCAGGGGGGTTGCTACGCTCTTCACGTCACTGCTGTGCCACTGGTACTGTAAAGCGCGTACCCAGAGCCGTAACGCACAGCCTGTCAGCTAACTTCTGATGGGCTCCCTGCCATATCTGACCTCCTAGTGACCTGGGCAGGCCCAGCAAGGTCAGACATGTGCCGAGTCAAGAGGCCTGCGCGTCTTCTCTGCAGCCTGTCATGGCTGCTAAAGTGGGGAGCCGGTCCCTTCAGTAGTAACCGTGTCTCTTCGCAGCGATAGAAACGTTAACTAAGGCAGAGGTTGGTACCAGAGCCGGGGTATTGCCGCGATAGACCTGACCGTGCGGAGCCTGGGGGCTATGGATTAGACAATCAGTCGCACGCTTTAAGTGCTGCTTAGCGGGTCACACTAGTAGGAGCACAGAAGACAGTGATGTCGAGGGTGATTTGATGACCTGGGGGGGGGGGCAGGGGGCTGGGGCGGCGTGGGGGTGGGGCTTGCTAAACTGGGTGGGTGGGGGTGGGGCTTTCTGACCTGGGGCCTGGGGCGTGTGAGGGTGAGGCTTGATGACCTGGGGTGGGGGTGGGTGGGGCTTGCTCAGTGGTTACAGAGGAGCAGAGTACCAGTATTTGGCCTAGAGATTACCGAGGTATTTTGGTGAAGAAGGTGGCGGCTGCTTTTTGCCCTTGGCTGAAAAGTCTGCCCGAGGCTAACGTGAAGAGTTCTGGATTAATTCTCTGGGATAGACTCCGCAATGTGGTTGCGAGGGTTGGCGCTAATGGAGATTAGTAACGAGAAGCAGCACACTGAGCCATGAGAAATACAAAGCGGGCAGACTGGAGAGGGGAAACAAAGGCACCGGAATTCTGTGTTCCGGGAGGTAAATGGATAAAGACATGGGATAAAGGGTGTGACGACCTCAGAGCAAGATCCCAGCCAGCTAATTTTCCAACAAGTGTGAGGACACATGTTAGGTTCCCGGAACCCTTGTTACGATGCTGGGTGTCTCTCCATTTGCCTCAAATAAAAGAAAAAAAAAAGACTGTGACTCTCTGAGTCCCTCCCTAATCCTTCCTGTGTGTCTCTCTGTCCATATTCCTGGGTCTCTGTCCTCTCTGGGGCTAATTCCTGTCAAACTAGTCCCTGGCTCTGCCCCCTGAACTAAGGTTAATTTTATTAAGAGTCTCAGAGTTTCGCAGTGTGGTCAAATATCCCATAATAGAAGTGGCAACACCGTGAGGAGCTGGACAGACAGGCAAAGGCCCTGGGTCACTGGACCACAGCCTGATAAGGGTCTCAGAGACCCATCAAGGGGGCCTAAGTAAACGTGAATGTGAGTTTCATCCGTCATGTTGGATGAGACACACCCATCCTCACGCTCCAAGAAGACTGCCCAGTACACACCCTAACACAGCGTGGTGGCCCAGAAGCGGTTTTATGTTAGTCTTCCCACCCCTGGTCACACGCATGCACACACACACACACACACACACACACACACACACACACACGCACACACCCAGGCCCCTGTCTTCGCAGCACCTGACCTCTTTCTCCTAGCATCACTACCCCGAGACAAAGACCTGCTGACCCAGCACACAGGGCAGGGAGTAAAACTCTCATTGGTCCATGGGGCAGAGCCAAGGTCCTCCCGTGGTCACATGCCTCCCTTTAGATAAGATGAGTTCAGGGTGTGCCTGGGTCCAGAGTCACAGCCTGATGGCTTGCAAGAGTCCTCTGCAGACTGAGATGGAGGGGGGGGGGACACTGGGACATGGGTTCTGTCCCCTGCTCTCCTTCACCCGAGGCTGAGCCCAAACATGGGGAGCAGACTCTGAGACGGACAGAGAGTGACTCACCAGCGTGGTCAAGTCCCCCCCCCCAGTTCTCAAAAGAACACACATGGGCACTAGCAGAATCAGCATTTGAATTATTTAATCAGCATTTGAATTTTCCACAGGAGAAGCCAGTCCTTTCCCAGGTGAATTCTAATGTCCCGGAATGCACTTTTGTACATTTTGTTTGACCTAGTGTTTCCTATTCCTTTCCTTACTAAGTACGGATGCTAGAATTAATTACTCTAAATATACTTCCCATGGTGCGGACTAGAGGTGTTCGCCGTACAACTATTGTCTTCTGGAGCAGATAGGAGGTTCCAGTCTCTGCCCTCCCTGTACTTCCCATGGTGCGGACTAGAGGTGTTCACCGTACAACTATTGTCTTCTGGAGCAGATAGGAGGTTCCAGTCTCTGCCCTCCCACAGGGATTTCTGAACACACACGTGGGTGGCACAGGGCGGCTGTGAGGAATGAGGCACGGAGTTCATGTGAGGCTTTCCCGATTTCATTCTCATTATTGAAAGGGTAAACTAAACTCAGAGGCTTCACTTCTAATAATGTAGAAATAAAGGGACCAGACCCTCACTCAGCCCCTGCTTTATCAGCCATGACAGACTACAGAAAAGACATGTAGGCCTGTGACACAAGGAAACTCCAGATCCTCTGGCCTCCCAGAGCCTGGGGTCAAAACTGAACACAAAGAAACTCCAGACCACCCTCCTCCCCAGCCTCCTAGATGCTTGGTTCCTGGGAACTGTTTGGCCACAAAAGAAACTCCAGGGGAAACCAAAACCTCCCCTGTAGTCTCCAGGGTACAGTTCTGAAAACTATCGGTATCTACGTACAACAGGCCACCTGCAAGTAACAAGACAATGCCATAGAAACCACAGAATGTTCCCTCTCAGCGCTGACCAATGAGAATAATGGGTACACAGGTATTACACGCCGAAAACATGACTTTGAAAAATTTCTTGATTGTTCCCCCAAATGTCAACCAATCAGAAACCAACCCGTACCTACTGATGTAGTCCTGTAACTTTCGTCTTTAAAACCTAGCAGTAGACAGGGGACTTCACCCCCTCTGGAGGCTGCTGGGACGGCTAGCCAGACGGGGTCCCTGTCACGGGTGGATGAACAATCACTAAACCTTGCTTTTGCAGTTTAGTGGGTCTGTCTTCCTGGTGGTCTCTGGGGAACTTTGCAACTTGGGCACAACAATTGTAACACATTCCCACCCTCCCCAGGCTGGTCTGCATGCAAGTCCCCAGGCTAGCCCCAGGATGATCCCCAAGAGGGACTGCATCCTGGTTCACACGCTGGTCCCCAGGCTGGACCCTAGCATGGTCTGCATTCTGTTTAGCAGGTTGTGGAAGCTTCAGAAGGCAGGACATAGCGTGAGGAAGACTTTTGCTGAGGTGCAGGCTTGAAGTTTATGGCATGGCACTAGGCTCTGTTCTCACGTGTAAAGAGAAGCTTTTTCCTTGCTAGCCGCTTTGGTTTATCCCCCGCCAGTCACCTGGGCTCTGCCGCATTGTAGTCCCCAAATAACACACAAGACGCTGTATTAATTATGAAGCTGTTGGCCTTGCTTGTTTCTTACTGGCTAGCTCTGACTTAAGTAATTACCCCATAATTGTTAATCTAAGTATGTCTCTTACTGGAGAATAGTTCCGGGCTTCCTACCCCATGGCGGTTACATGTCGACTCTCTTGTGTTTCTCCTTCCCAGAGTCCTCCTGGACTCCTAGTCCCTCCTATCTAGATTCCCTATAGGCCAGACAGTGCTTTATTGACAAATGCACAGGACTTCCCCAACACTCACAGCTTCTTGTTCTGAACAGACTTGAGATGGGAGCCCCAGCTGGTGTGCTCACCCAACCATGGAGCTCCCTGCTGCTCTGCAATCCTTGTCATGATGGACTGTGTCCCCTCAGAACCCGAGCCAGATAAATGCTTCTGGCCTGAGTTCTTTCTCATCCCTTTGGATGCTGTTTTAGGACTGTGCTCAAGGGCACCCGTAAAGAAGCTGTTTATTGCCACCTTTTTTTTTTATGAAACACACATAGATACAGAGCTTTAAAAACTTGTGGAGTAAGTTCACGGAGTCGTTTTTACTTATGTCCAATCTAATGCTGTAGTTGCTCTAATTTTACAATGCTAAGGTTTGCCTTTCTTGGGTCATTTCATAGTAACTCGGTTAAGAAAACTGGTTGTGGGTGGGGCAGCAGTGGCGCACTCCTTTAATCCCAGCACTCGGGAGGCAGAGGCAGGCGGATCTCTTGTGAGTTCGAGACCAGCCTGGTCTACAGAGTGAGTTCCAGGACAGCCAGGGTTACACAGAGAAACCCTGTCTTGAAAAACAAAACAACAGCAACAACAACAACAAAAACGCACACACACATACAAACAAAATCTGGTTGTCCTGGTTTGGTTCTCTGCTGCTGTGGTAAAGACTATGACTGTGGTAGTTAGAATAAAAATGGCCCCCACAGGCTCATATATCTGAATGCTTAGTCACCAGGAAGTGGCACCATTTGAAAGGATTAGAAGGATTAAGAGGTGCAGCCTTGTTGGAGGAAGTGCGTCACTGGGGATGGGCTTTGAAGTTTCAAAAGCCCAAGGTCTCCTCTGGAGGCTTTGCAGACCAGGATATAAGCTCTCAGCTACTTCCCCAGTGCCAAGTGTGCTGCCGTGCTCTCTGCCGTGATGATAATGGACTATGCTTCCAAAATCGTAAGCCAGCCCCATTAAATGGTGTCTTTCACAAGAGTTGCATGGCCATGGCGTCTTTTCACAGCAATGACAGTGGCCAAGGGCAGCTTGGAGAGTAGAGACTCACAGGTCACACTCCATCACTGAGGGAAGGTCAGGGCTGGAACTCAGGCAGGAGCTGATGCAGAGGCTACAAAGAAGTTGCGTACCAGCTTGCTCCTCAAAGCTTGTTCAGTTTGCTTTCTTACATACCCCAGGGCCATCTGACAGAGTGTGTGTGTGTATGTGTGTGTGTGGAACCATCTAGAGTGAGCTAGGTCTTTCCATTTCAGTCGAGAAAATGTCTTACAGACTTACCTACAGTCCAATCTGACAGGGACAGCTTCTTACCTGAGGATTCCTCTTCCCAGATGACTCTAGCTTGAGTCAAATTGACAAAGACCTAACCAGCACGCTGCTGGTATATAGCATGTTAGATATAAACAAAGAACAACACTAGAGTACACTATATATGTGCATGAGAATGGCCCTATTTTGTCCTAAATAATGATGATGATGATGATGGTGGTGGTAATAATAATGCCACTAAACTGGGCGTTGGTGGTGCACGCCTTTAATCCCAGCACTCGGGCAGGAGGCCAGCCTGGTCAACAGAGTGAGTTCCAGAACAGCTTCCAAAACACTAAAGAGAAACCCTGTCTGGAAAAAAATTAATAATAATGCCACTGGTGTATATGCAGGGAGCAAGTGTGCTATCAGACTCAGGAAGCCATGGATTCATTTATCTTAGATTTATATAAAAAGGAAGACTATTAATAATCACAACACTATGTGAGGCACAGTGTCTTTTCTGCGGGCCGTCTTAGAAACCTAGGTCCAGAAACTGGCCATAGAGGCTCATGGAGTCCCAGGTAATTGGCTTCCCAGCCAGAGGTCCCTGTGCCTGCCCAGGAGGACCAGAGTCCTAGAGTTTACAGGGTCCTTTGTGCTCTGTCACTTGGGACTGTGCGATGGAGAGAGGTCTGCGGGATTATGCGTGAAGTAAGGATAGAGGGAGCCCAGGAATCTGGCCTGGGTGAAGGAGAAGATGTGGGTCTCATCCGTCATGTTGTAGAAAGAAAGGTCGTTGTCCTCCTGGTCCAAGAAGATTGCAATCTTCCAGGGCCGAGTCCCCAGCAGCAGAGGCTCTTCCAGAGACACGGTTTGGGAACAGAAGGTGAGAGCCCTGTACTCATCTCCCTTCTTCTCCAGGACCCTAAACTTCCTCAGGGGTTCTCTGGATGGTGCATCCTGGTTGGACAGCTCGTAAACACCGAGGGTCCATTCCTCAGTGTCCCCGACACACACCTCCCAGTAGTATCTCCCCAACATGAAGCCTTCTTGGTACAGCGTGATGATGTTGTGGTCATCTCGCGGGTGGCTGAGGAGTGGTTGTGCTGTCTCCTCTCTGCTGCTCTCTTCTGCCTCGGGGCTAGATTTGTCCTGGTGAGGCATTTCATGATTTATCCTCACAGGAGCTGCGGGGGAGGAGGAGAGGGGAGGGGGATGGGAGGAAGATGAGGGAGGAGGGGGAGGGAGGAGGGAGAAGGGGGAGGAGGGAAGAGGGAGGAGACTAAGTCACAGTTGTAATGTTTCTATACCAATAACTCTGTGTCCAAAGTGAGCGTTGTGTGCAGGAGGCTACCGGACGGGTGAAGTGTTAAGGAAACTGGGTGTGGGGAGGGTGCGGGGCGACGCTCCTGAGGTGTGGGGCCAGGCTCTCACAGCGCATTCTGAGCTCTGCATCTCATTCTATCTTATCTATGCTACAGTCTCGGGAGAGTTTGGAGTGAGCCAGCACTTGGTAAATCAGAGCCTCGTTCGTCTCTCATGGAAGGGCTGGTCACAAGCTGACGGCACAAACTGAAGCTGAGCGCTCTTGCCACTAGGAGCAGTGTTTCCTTCGTCAGGCATCTCCTGAGTAAGGAGCCGCGGTTCCCGAGCCCAGCGGACAGGACGGATGGACGCCACTGACAAGAGTGCTGGGCCAGTGTGTGGAGAAAGAGAGCAGAGCCAGTGTGGCTGAGCCTGGCAAAGGCTTGCAGCAGGATCGCACAGCAGGGTCCCTCCCTCCCCTCCCCACCCTCAGCCTGAACAACAAGGGTCTGTTAGGAAGATCACACAAGACGCCAGAGGGCCAACCGGAGAGGCTGCCTGCTCAGCAGTCCACCTGGCATGCACAAGGCTTCACGCCCGGCTTTCACACTCATCTCCAAAATGAGGGAGCAGCCCCAGAGAGTCGAGGCAAGCGAGAGCAAGTCGACTCACCCAGCTGGAACAGCTCCTTCCTCCAGTCTGGAAGAGAGCAGAGAAACAGGTGCTGGATCTGGGCCCCGAGGAACAGAGAGGAGGCGCCTGACCCCCCCCCACCCCCGTGCGTTCTCCTCTCTTAAGTCCCTCGGACTTTCTAATGTCTGCAAACTCCCGCAGGCAAGAGGCTCTCTATGATGACTCAGGGGCTACTCCCTGGAGCCTCGGTGCTGGGGATGGGGGTGAGGGTGGAGTAGGGGTGAGGGTAGGCATGGGTGCTAAGCTCCTCTTGCTCAGATGCAGCAGCTGTTGGGCCTCAGGTTTTACTTAGAAGTTAGACATGTCCATGTCCACAGCCCCGGGAGGAGCAGAGGTTATGACTTTCATTTCTTAACAGACACAGCACTGTGGTCTCTCATTGAAGCTCCCTCCACAAGAAATTTAACATCTAATATATAGAGCCATGAGGACAGGCGTCGGGGAGAGCGCCCTCCCCATGCAGTGAAGGAGAAAGGCTGACACACCCCCATCTCTCCTGCAGTGAAGGGGAATGGCCAACCCCAGCTGACCGAGCTCTCTGCTTCAGAACCACAGGAAGTGTTTTAACAATATTTGTTTTTAAATTTTATTTTATGTGTCTTTTTAAGTGTTTGCCTGCATGTATGTATGTGCACTACATGAGTGCAGTGCCAGCAGAGGCCAGAAGAGGGCAGTGGATCCCCTGGGACTGAAGTTACAGAAGACTGTGAGCCACAGTATATAGGCCATGGGATCTGAACTCTTTGCAAAAGTAGCCATTGCTACTGAGGCATCTCCCCAGCCCGAGGTTTCTCCCAGGCCCCTGAGGTGTCTCTCAGGCCCTGAGGTGTCTCCCAGCCCCAGTTGAAACAACTTAGAACAAATCGTTAGAGTCTCAGCAGAAGCTGCTTACCGAACTGTCCATCACCCTGGAGGGTCCACCTGTCTGTCAGCTTCTCCCAGCACTCAGGCTGCCTGGAACAGCCTAGTTTCTAGTTTATGCTCTTTGGGGACTTTCAATTTCCACAGGGTCATAGATGACAGCTGTGCCACTACGCATGGCACAGTGTCTGATGTATGGAAATTGCACAGATGGGAATCAAAGAATGACCTAGTGTGGTTGTGCACTCCATCTCTCTCTGTCTGTCTCTCTGTCTCTCTCTCACACACACACACACACACACACACACCATACACATAACATACACTCAGTCACATACACGTCTTACTCAGGCACACATCACATACATACTTCCACACATGCACGCACACACACATATCACACACTCACATAGTCACTCACACATATGCACACACTCATGCACGCATCACACGCATTCACTCCACACAGACACTCACACTCGTCACATGCCACGCAGCCACACAAACACCATGCACACTCATGCACACATCACACGCACATGTACACACACATCACATGCACACACGCATATGCACACACATTATACACACGCAGTCTCTCACACATTTACACACGTCACACACATGCATATACACACACTCATACACATATCACATAAACACATGCACACAGTAAGTAAATAGTTATCCCTCCTTTTTTCTTAGCTACAGGAAACAAGGGATTGCCTGAACCCCCAACACAAATGATTACGACTTTCTGGGCACGGTGACGCACACCTGAAATCCTAGCATTTGGGAGGCAGAGGCAGGAGACCTAGGAGCTCACACCTAGCCTTAGCTACATAGCATGTGGTCCAGCCTCGTAGTGGGAGGTCCTGACTCAAAAATGTTTTTTTCCGTTACTCTGTAAGTTGACAGCCAGTAAAGTGTGCGTGTGTGAGCGCATGCGTGTTTAGGTTCCCGGGTAGCATGCCCATTGTTTTAGAGTTGCTGGCAAGATCCATTGCCCACGGGCCACTTACCAGGGTACAGCAGGGCTTTCTTCCAGTCTGCAACAGAGCATACCCGAGACGGTTGAGTACCGACCTGTGGCCTCACTTCCCCCTTTCCCTCTCGCTTTTCCACACCAGCCATCATTAAACACTTTAGTCCCCCCATCCCCGCCCCAGGGTACGGAGGGGGAGCTGGCATCAGGGTGTCGGGTGCAGGACACCTGGCCTCTTACCTTCTTTGTACAGCGCCTTCCGCCGATCTGAAAGAAACAACACTCCGTGAGTGGCAGCGAAGAGAAGCGAACGCTACGGAGCAAGCGGGAGGAGAAGCCACACTCACCCAGCTCGGCCTGGAGGTCATCTGAAAGAAAGGGAAGCCGTGAAATCCATCACTCGGGGCTCTCAGCCACCCTGAGTCCGGAGAATGAACTAGGGTGGGCTTTCCCTTGGGGGGTGAGCATGCGCACATGGCCACCACCGTAAGCCCATAAAGTGCCCTGGGAGCTTGGGGCGTCTGAGGGCTTCCCCTCAAGCAGGCTCTTGACCCATCCCTGGGCAAAGAAATGGCGGCACCCTCCGGAGGAAGGGTGGGATGTGGGCGCGTGGGGCGGGGTGTGGCTGGCACGGGCTGTGGTTTGACCCTGCAGCAACTTCAGAGCCTGAGGTCCACTCACTCCCTTTGGCCCTCTCTAGTCCTCCGCCCTGGCTGTGGCTCTGTGGAGAACTCGCACCATCCCCCCTGCGCCTCCCTAGCTCCTTTGATTCCCACCCCCCCAGCCTTTCCGCAGCCCCCCGACTCACTCTGGGGTCCCCACCTACGATACCTCTTTTCTTCAGGGCGGTTTCCTTTTCCTTCCTCATCTGCTGCGTTTCCTGCTCTGCCTCTGACTTTTCCTTCTTCTCTTGCTTTTTGGCTTGGTGCTGTTTCCAGGCAGCGAGGCTGGTCCCAGCGAACAGGACCAGTAGTACAGGGAGCAGGCAAAACAGAGCTACTTTCCATGGAGAAGTCCTTGGGAAGAAGGGCTCTGACGGGGCGTGCAGACAGACGGACGGACAGACGGACAGACGGTCAGAAACCGGCCAGAGGCGGCTCCTCCCAGTGCCCCCCTCACCCCCAGCTCCCTGCCTGGGAGTTTGGTCCTCACTGACCTGGGAGCATGATGGCCCTCACTTCCTCCTGGTCATGGAGGGGGTTTTGGATAGAGCAGGCCACTTTGCCCGCAGTTCTATCCGTGACCAAGAGAGACGCTTCCACGTGGAAGAGCCCGTCTCCGTCTTGGGTCTGCGCCTCGGAGGAGGACGGAAGAGCCTCCCCAGCACCGTCTCTCCATCGCACCCTGGGTTTTGGGAACCAGCCGCTTGAGGAACAGGACACCCGGATCCCATTGTTCTCGGGCCCTGTCATGCGAACCAGAGGGGCAGAGCCTAACCCTGAGGAGAGAAGACACCTGCTTGAGGCCAGAGTGCAGTGAGTGAGGGAAGGTGACCTTGCTGTACTGAAGAGCGGGCGGGGGGGGGGGGGGCGGGGGCGGGAAGGACTCAGAGGTCAGCCGAGGCTGCCCCGAGACTCCGTCTGATCTTAGCTCACTGTGGTTTGCACGGGCTTGGACCCGGAGAGGTTAGGGGTCGTCCTAGGAAAAAGTTAAAACTTGAAAATGGGGCTAATTGTATTTTCTGTCTTGATGTACTGAGCGTCACGGTCAGAGGTGTCAGTGTTACTACTGAGCATCCTGTCTGGGATCTTGCAGGGTATGGAGACGGGCTCAGAGGGTTGGACAAATGCATCACACAGTAGCGTGATTCTTGTGCAACCATGAGGACCTGAGTTCACCTCCCCAAGCCCACATGAAAGCCTGGGTGTGGGGGCTCAGGGACCAGAGACGGGTGGGTTGCTGGGCTCACTGGCCACCCAGCCTAGATGAGTTGGTCAGTGAGAGCCCTGTCTCAGAAAAGAAGGTGGACAGTGACCTGAGAGTGACCTCTGCCTTCATACATACACAATTATACACATATGTGCACTTACACACACACACACACTCACACCTCTTAGGTTCAGAAATGTTAAGTCTGTGATGTTAACCTCTGATGGCAGACATTCCTACTCTCACTGGGCACTGCAGTGATGCCCCACAGTCTTTTTTTAATTTTCATATTTTTAAAAATTTTTTAAAGATTTATTTATTATGTATACAGTGTTCTACCAGCATGTATTCCTGCTGGCCAGAAGATGGCGCCAGATCTCATTACAGCTGGTTGTGAGCCACCATGTGGTTTGCTGGGAACTGAACTCAGGACCTCTGGAAAGAGCAGTCAGTGCTCTTCACCTCTGAGCCATCTCTCTGGTCTTACTCTCACCAGACACCGCAGTGATGCCCCCACAGGACACATCGACACATCCAGGATCACAGGCAGCTCAAGGCTGCTCATAAGGAGGGTTCCGGACAGTTTGCTCTTTGTCTTATCATCACAGCCAGCGCCCTGTGCCGAGCTCACATACCTGTGACACGCAGCTCGATCGTGACCTCTTGGGAGGTGGCACCGTGTGTAACCTGGCAGTGATACAGGCCATCGTCAGAAGCCTGGACCTGTCGTATCTGCAGAGCCACGCTCCCCGTGTCGATGGCGTCTCTCACCAGCCGGGTTCTTCCTTGGTACTCCGGCATCTGCACTTGCTCCTGCCCGTCGTGGAACACCAGCACAGCAGGGGTGAGCTGGGCACGGTACCAGCGGATGTGCATGTGAGATGCGCTCTGTGCAGGAGACAGCTGGCAGGGCAGGGTGACATCAGTCCCAAGCAGGACCCTGATGGGATCATCTGGTCCCCTCACAGAAAACGAAGACACTTCTGGGACCAGAGACAGATTACGGAAGCAAGTTAGAGATGTCAGACGTCAAACAAACACAAAAAGAAAACACAAACTATCCTGATCTTTCGTTTTTAGGGAACTGAACGTATTTCTCTTTATATTACTTTCTAAAAGTATTAAACTTTAAGCTGGGTGGTGGTGGCACATACCTTTAATCCCAGCACTCAGGAGACAGGGGGAGGCAGATCTCTGTGAGTCCCAGACCAGCCTCGTCTACAGAGCGAGTTCCAAGACAGAGCTACGCAGAGAAACTCTGTCTCATAAAAAGTATTACATTTTAATAGATAGAATATTAATAGTTATATAAATGTGTATAGATATCTGTGTGTGTGTGTGTGTGTGTGTGTGTGTGTTCTTGGGACTTTTACAACATCAACACTTATTCAGAAATGTCAGCTCCTTCAGTATTTTGAATCTACTGAAATACAGGACCTTATCTCATTGTAAGGTTTAGGAAATGGACATTCTTCAGGTATGCCAACATAGCCAAGATCACAAAAAAACAAAGGCAGGAGCGAGAGAGAGAGAGAGAGAGAGAGAGAGAGAGAGAGAGAGAGAGAGAGAGAGAGAGAGAGAGAGAGAGAGGGAGAGAGAGAGAGAGAGAGAAGAGAGAGAGAGAGAAAGAGAGACAGACAGACAGACAGACAGACAGACAGACAGAGACCTATAAACCTAAAATGAGGTGACTCTGAGCCAAGGAGAGTTCAGGCAGGGGCAGCTGTGCTGGGGAACTTTGTGTGTACACAGAGTTGACAGCCCTGGCTATCACCCCAGAGAATGTGACGCTCTGGGTCAGGAACACCGCAGTGGCCATTGCTGACTGGGGGCGGGGAGGCTTTTTTCAGTTTACATTGCTTCCAAATATGGGGTGCCTCTGTGACTTCAGAGGATGTGTTCTCATCTACCTAACACGGGTGTCAGTGTACATAGATGCCATATATGTACAATTTAGAAAGATGGTTTCACTCTGGGTGAAGCCACAGTGCAGAGGGGAATCACGGTTTCACACAATTGCAATCAAGCATCAGTTTTGGCAATGGAGGACTTCCAACTATTTTAGTACATATCGTTAGTTATGCCCTATTATTTATTTTTGACAATCTATACCACTATAAACAATTGCTATAAACAATCCTATAATAAACTTCTCGCACATGCACACACATACACACATACACACACACACACACACACACATGAATACATACATCTATACATACACAGATTCCCCCCACACACAAAAGTGTTTTTACACAAAACTTTACAGAATTTTGAATCAGCATTTATGGACATTAGTGTTTGATGGTAGACCAGTTGTCTAGCATGTGTTTGATGGTAGACCAGTTGTCTAGCACATCCAGCTCTGGGCTTCATCTGGATTTTTATATTTACCACCTGACATCAGATTCAGGAAATAACACCCGACTGTGCCATTCACATGATCTCCTTTCTGAGTTCTCTCTGGACTCTGGGAACTTCACCTAGAGGGTGTTTCTGCTTATGAAGGAAGGGCCAGTGTCCCAGAGAGAATAAGTGACTTATTCAAGGTCACAGCCAAGAATTCTGAATCCAAACTCTTTGTTCTCCTATGCACACAGAACCCCACAAGGCACACCTTTCCTGGCCACAGTGGCCCAAACCAACCCTCGAACCACAAGCCAAACCAACCACCTCCCCTTTGAGCTACTTCTCGTCTGGTAGCTGGCCACAGCTAGGAGGAAACCGACACACCCTGTGACCCTCACGAAGGCTGTGTCCACAGACACAGGAGGTGTCAACAGGCTGACCTACCCGCACTCAGTAAAGGGTTAGGTAAATGTCACCGTTCTGGGTTTTATAAGGAAAAAAAACTACCCAATAGACCAGGGAGGACATTTCCTTGTCTGAGTGACTTGAGAGAAGCCATCCGAAACCAAGACAATAAGCACAGAGCAGGAGGAGGCAAGAGCACTGACCTCCCGAGGCTCCGGTGGACGCCAGGAGGAGCAGAGGGAGGAGGCAGCCGGCTGGAGGGGAGGTGGGACAGCCCTTCATCTCCACAGGACAAGGACAAGGCCAGGTTCACCTGAAGGAGGGCAAAGGGTGGAAAAACCCCCAGTTCAGAGACTTAACGTCTCTAACTGTGTCTCCCACCAAGCCCTTAAGACAAAACTCACCAAACCCCACCCCTCCTCAAGGCCTTTCCTGTCCTCCCTTAATTCTGGAGACCAACAGTTTCCATGGGCGTGGGTAACTGCCAAGCATTTTCTGTGCCGGGGTGTGTGGGGGGGGCTCTCTTGCCTTTCAGTGGGTCCGTGGTCTCCCAGGGGATCTCAGGGCTGGATTCCCTGAGTTCAGTGCGAGGCATCGGAGTCTCACAAGGATGTGGGCTACCCCCACATCCAGTCTGTAGTCACTCTCTTCTTTCATTTATGCATTTATTTATTCTTCTATTTGTTCATTTACTTTCTTGTTTCCCCGATAAAGGGACCATTTCTCACTACATCCTCATGACTTCAAACCCCGCCCCCCGGCCCCCAATACCCCCCTTTGGACAGACCTGCTGACAGCCACAAGCTCCTCACTCACCGTTGGGACTGAGCTGTGGGTTCCTGGGAGCTCCTGGGATCCTCGGCGATCTGAAGCCTGGCCCTGGCGACCATCTGCACCTGTGTAACCGTGGGTGTAGGTGTGTCAGTTTTCAAAGATGTTCTTTGCATGGAGGACACACAGGATTCCCTCCCCCAAGGCTCCCCCCAGGCTCTGGCTTTAGTTTCTCCCAGAGGAGTCTAGGAGGAAGCTGCCATCATCTCCAGCTCTTCAGTTACTCCAAGAGTGGACAATAAAAGCCCGAGGGACTTTGCACTGGGCTGAGTCATAAAGAAAGGAACTGTAAACCACTTTGGAGACTTCTCACTATAAGCTGCCTCCTACATTACCAGGAGAGGCAATCAGGTCTGAGGGTCACTCACATGGTTAACTGATTTAGAGACTAAAGTCAAGCTTTCTTCTTCCTCTGCTCCATGACTGACTTCTGACAGAATGCGTAGTACCCCAGTTACTGACCTCTGACAGAATGTTCAGCGCCTCAGTTACACGAACTACACAAGACCGTGTCTCAAACAAAACCAAAATGACAACCGACAGAGGGCTCTGTCAACCCTCAATAGATCTGCATTTAAGAAATGTATGTCACGTGTATGGGTGTTTTGTCCACATGCATGCGTGTGTACCACATGTGTGCAGAGTCCGTGGAGGACAGAAGGGGAATGTCAGATGCCCAGAACCAGAGTTACAGGCAGTTGTGAGCTGCCGTGTGAGGAAACAGAGGTACCAAGGAGTCCTGTAGCTCACCCCAAATCCTAAGCATAGGCAATGATGTCAGGAGACTAACCCAAACCATGAGGTTCTAAGATTCCGAGACCCAGGTCACTAACTGGAACACGTACAGGTGCACCTCATAACCACGTAATTATTGCTGTTCCGTTGTCCGTATTGAAGCTCTCTTTTCTAATCTTCTTTCACCTTCGGCTGATGGCAGGGGGCTGACTCCTGGCGTTTCCTGGGAGGAGCGTCTTGCCTCCAGTTCTCTGAATCCCTTAAATGTCCACCTAAGCCCTCCTCCCAGACCCTGAGCCTCCAGCAAGACTTACAGGAGAGCCCAGAAGGTGAGCTGGGAGGCAGGGCAGGGTTACCCTGTCTGGCTCCCTCTCTGAGATAGTGAGGTGGGGGAGGGCTCCCAGAAGCATTCATCTCTCTAGGAACTTAGACAATGAGAGTTTTGCACGAGCCTCCCTTAGATGATGGGTAAGAAGTGAGAGAAGGTTCACAGCATGAACCCTGGGGGTGGGCAGAAGACAAGCAGAGTCCTTTGTCATACGGGAAGGTGTGTGGGGGGGATTCAAGATGAACGAAGCTCGAAACTGCCGTTTCTCCCTCCGTTTGCCTCCCCTATCTTAGGATAACGTGTTCTCATGCCCAAGGAGGGATTAGAGAGGCCGTGGGCAGACTAAGGACCTGTCTCTGGGAAAGGGAATGGAAGGGTCTTCGTGGGAGTGACAAAGGTGTCCCTGGCATTCCTTGGAGGAATGTACTGCTGGTACTGCCATTGTCTGAGAGCCCCAGGAGACCATTTCTTAGCACCACCATGAACCCCTCGGCCACACCCCTCTTACCTTGCCAGTCTCCTTGTCGTGTTTCCCAGTGTTTGCAGGACCTCCCCCTCTGGACCTCGCTGCTCCCCAGCCTAGGGAAGACAGGGTACTCCCTGCGCTTCTCTCTGCCGAGAGACCTCTTCACCCTGCTTCTGCTTCCACGTGGGGCTCAGGGGAAAACCTTCCACGCCTCTAGACGTGGGGCTCAGGGGAAAACCTACCACGCCTCTAGACGTGGCTCCTACTATTTTCTGTATAGAAGGATTAAGTCACAAGGTGAATTTGCAAACATGCCTTGGTTACTCCTAAGGTCCTCATCTAACACGACAATTCATTGGGTTGCACATCAGGGTAAATATATAGCTTCTTAAAGGAACGTGCTTTCATGATCTCCCTGGCCTCTCCTCGCACACACACACACCCTTCCAAGAGTACACCACCATTGCAATCAAGAAGTCACTTGCTTTAAAAGCCTGTCTGCTGTAAAATCCCACTGGCCTGTCAGCCTGCACTTGTGCTGTAACATTCTGTGATGGTGGGAGGTCCCTGGGGCAATAATGATGCCGCACTCGGAAGGCTCCAGGCCCGTTGTCCTGACGCCCTCCACTCTGGTTCTACCCCCATGGATTCCTCAGTAGTGACTGGCCTCTTGGATCACACCCGGGGCATGGTGGGTACAGACAAGCATGCTCTCCTGCTTGCACGCCAGAGGAAGGAGCTGGGAGGGTATGGATCCCGTTTCTCAGAGGCCGTGCGGGTGTATCGGGATGGGATGGAGCAGGAGGGGGGGTCGTCCACTAAAGGTCAAAGGGAGTTAACGAAGGACTGCACGTCCGAGGGGACAGCAGGCAGCCGTGCAAGCGTTTCTTCAGAAAAGGCGATGCCTCTGAGGAAGCCGACGTCAGCTAAAGGTGATAGTGAGAATGTTATAGAAGACAGATGAGCGTCTTGTTGGGCTTGGGGGGAGGATGGGGTATTTTTACCCTGTAGAAAGCCAGGAAAAAAGCTCCAGGCAGGAACTTGAGGCAGGAACTGAAGCAGAGGCCACAAAACAAAGGGAGGGATGGCTGCTTCCTGGCTCCCCCCCCGTGGCTTGCTCAGTCTGCTTTTTTATATGGCTCAGGACCGCCTGTCCAGGGAGGGCGCCACCCACAGAGGACTGGGCTCCACAGGACAACCTGGTGGAAGTGGCTTTCTCAGTTGAGGCTCCCTCGTCCCAGATAAACTTAGGTTGTGTCAAGTTGACAAAACAAAAAACAAACAAAAAAAGAAAGAAAGAAAAAACAACCAGCACATGTTAGAGAAAAACAGATGTGTACCTTTGGAGATGGCCAATATCTTGGATATGCTGGATTTGGCCTAAATGGTCTTGATAAGTTGATGCAGTCATTATGTTGTGCTTCGAAACTGAACCAGGTTTTTAATGGTTTCTTTAAAAAAAAAAAAGATTTTATTTTACTTATTAAGTGTACACTGTTCTGCCTGCATGTATGCCAGCAGGCCAGAAGAGGGCACCAGATCTCATTATGGATGCTGAAAATTGAACTCAGGACCTCTGGAAGAGCAGCCAGCGCTCTTAAACCTCTGAGCCTTCTCTCCAGGCCTCCAAACCAGGGTTTTTGCTTTGTTCGTTTACTTATTTTTGTTTCCAGACAGAGTTTCTCTGTGTAACAGCACTAGCTGTCCTGGAACTCAATCTGTAGACCGGGCTGGCTCTGAACTCAGAGATCTGCTTGCCTCTGCCTCCCGAGTGCTGGGATTACACGTGTGGGCCACCATTGCCTGGCCCATGCCAGTTTTTAAAAGTCTGTTTTAAATCAGGCACTTCATTTCAGTCCACCCTTTGAAACACAGACAGTCTTTCTCACTTGTATCTCATCTTCAGCGGATGCTGCCCTGGCGTGGTTCATTTCGTGCATCCTTATTCCCCATTAACCTTTGCCAAACATTTTGTTTTTATGAGACAGGGTCTCCTCGTGTGGCCCTGGCTGTCCCAGAGCTTGCTATGTAGACCAAGCTGGCCTTGAACTCACAGAGATCTGCCTCATTAAAGGTCTGCACCACCACGCCCAGTCCTTTACTGAAAAAAAATTTTTTAATGAAAGGGGTGTGGGAAAAGCATTTTGTTAGACAAGAACACTGACGGCCTAGGCTGGCAAAATATCTTAAGTGTGGAAAGGGACAGAAAATCGTTTAAAAGGGAAAATACAGAATAGTCAAACGCATTTGCTGTGCCTTCAAGTTTTAAATACGCCTGGAGCATATATAAATCAAAGCAAAAGTATACAGTTCCTATGGTAAAGCCATCTTCCTTTCTAAAAATAATGTTTTTATTGATCTTCGAGAATTATTGTGTTCAGTGTGTTTTGATCGTATCCACTCTCCTCCCCCAACTCCTCTGAGATCTACTGCAACCTCCTGACTCACCCAACATTGCATTTTCCTTCTCTCTCTCTCTCTCTCTCTCTCTCTCTCTCTCTCTCTCTCTCTCTCTCTCTCCACACTACACTTGGGAGTGGGGCCTGCCCTGTAGCCCTGCAGCCCATGGTCAGTAAAGCAAGGACCACACTATTAAGAACACCAATCCTTCTAGCCGCTATCAAATGCAGATAGATCCTGGGGGGGGGCAGGACTTTGCGCCCACCCCCTCCCCCACACTGTTTGCCCATCTTCTTTATTGCATGTTTAAGAGGAAGACACGGAGTCCATTAGGTGGTGAAGGAGTGTACCATCTCCGGAAGAGGTCAGAGGCCTCCTGCGGTCTCAGAACTGATCTCATTGTCATTATCAGGTGGTTGAGCTCCGAGTGTATACACGGCGAGCCTGACCTTTAGAAGCAGTTGGCTGGTGGTCTAATGTGCTAATCTTCTGCTCACACAACCCTGCTGGTTAATTATATATTCGCCCTTATCTGCCATCCTCTCCCCGGGCAGCCTTTGCTCTTCTTTTCTGCCTAGCTGAGGCTTTCTCGCTTCTACTTTGGACTCCCAGGCTGTGTTCCTTCAGGAGGCGTCTACGCAGAGCTGGTTCCTGCCCCTTTGGCTTGGATCTGTTCCACTTCACTTAGGACCAAGTTCACGCACACGCTTGTTTCCATGTTCCGAAGAGTGTGTGGCAGCACTTCTCGGGCAGCCCCGGGAAGATGGCTTGTGCCTCAGAGTATTTACTGTTGTCCAGAACTTTGTCCTCCTTAACTGGCCGTGGTGTGGTGGCAAATATTACTGGAGGGGTTATAATTAAAAAACAATAACAACAAAAAACGATGCAGTCAAGTTTCATGACATCTCTTCCATCCAGGAAATGGGGGGGGGTGAGCCCAATAAAACTTATCTGAGACTTAAAGGCGAACTCGTGTGCACTCTTAAAATCAGTGTGCCTGTGTACTTGGGGATACCGGGTCCTCCCTGCAGGATACAACATCCTGGCACTGCTGTTCTCATGTGGGTGCTGGTTACACGGGTCCACTGGCGTTTGTAAGGACATGAAGATGCGATGTGACAGTAAAAGGAATGCATTGCCAATAAAAAAAAAAAAAAGAAAGCCACCAGGACTCGGTCACGCCCAGCTGCTTTTATTGCTCATGGAATCTCCACTAGGGCATTAAAAAAAGCAAATTTAGAGAAGAATTACGAAGAGTGTGGTGGCTTTTTGAACGAGATCCGCATGGCTCATACACTTGAGGGCTTAGTGCCCAGCTGGTGGATCTGCCTGGACGGGTTAGGAGGTGTGACCTTGTGGGAGCAACTGTGTCACTGGTGTGGTTGGGTCCTGAGGAGCCCAAAGTGCACGCCACTCCTAGTTAGCTCTCTGCGTGTCATCCTCGTGGACCGGATGTGAGCTCTCAGCCGCCGCTCCATGCCTGCCCGCCCGCCACCATGCTCCCTCCAGCCATGAGCCCCAGACTAAATACTTTCTTTTATAAGTTACCTTGGTCATGGTGTTTTGTCACAACAATAGAACGGTAACTAATTTAAGAAGTTACTGGTTTAGGCGTGGAACCTTGGTGTTCCGTGAGACATCAATACATGGCATAGATAGGTATAAAATACCGTATGAGGAATTTAAGTATTAGCATTTTTTCTGACTTTTTTTATTGCCCTTCCATGACCCAGCTACAGACACACTTGGATAGAGAGCACACAGCAGGCTTTGGCCTGACTTTTTTAAAAATTATTTTTATTTTATTTGTATGGATGCGATGCCTGCATGTGTCTGTGCACCAGGTGCATGCCTGGTGCCCTCAGAGGCTAGGACACCAGATCCCCTGGAACTGGGTCAGACCCAGGTCCTCTGCAGGGACAGCCAGTGCTCCTAACGGCTGAGCCGTTTCTCCAGCCCTTGCTCTGATTCGTAGTGTTGGTACGGGGTCTTCCGTAACTGTGAGTCACAGTCATTTCTCTCTCTCGTGGGAAAAGAAAAAGAAACCCTCTCCTCCCACCTGCAGGTGGGTGCTTTGTCCCTCTGGAGCTCCTGAACAGGACATTTCTCGAAGGAAAAAAATGCCCATCCAGGTCTCAGACGAGTGGCATTTCTCTCCAGATCTAGATTCCCTTCTTATCCTCAGGATGGGTCCAGGAGAGGATGAGGAGATGAAGCTGCTGTGCACGGGCAAGGGATGGTCCCAGGCCGTGGGGACAGCAGAAGGGGGGGAAGGGAGAGAAGATGCCGTGGGCTGTGTGTGAGGCGATGATGGGCTGGCTCCGAGGTAGAGCGCCCCCCACTGCGAGCCGCAGGAATGGGTCCCTGCCCTTTTTGGACAACAGCAGGTGACGCCACCGCTTTGCCAGGGCAGGGTTGCTCCCTGAGTGGAAAGGTGGGAAGAAGGTTGGGGGGTTCAGAAAGCGGGTGCACCGGGCTTGCATGAGCTCTTCAGAGCTTCTGGTCAGAGGGAAGCCTGGTTCTCGTCATTCTTGAGATTTTGCTGATTGTTGTGGTGTTTTTGGTCTGGAAGGAAACACAAGGGGACAAGGTTACAGGTGCCATGGATGGAGAGAGAGAAAGGAGAGGTAAGGCTGGGGCAGACAGAGCAGTGTTGGAGGGCTTCTGGCTGTGCGTAGGACTGAGATGGAATGCCGACGAACCACGGAGCCCAGAACCCCTACAGAAAAATACAGAAGGATTTAGCAAAGAGGAACATCACTGGGTGTGAAAAACCAGCCACACAGTTTTCAGTTAGGATACGTTTGTGGAGCTGGGTGATAGAAGAGGCAGGCCACATCTGTGAATAATGCATAGAAACTAGAGATAAACGCTAGGCTTCTGCCCTGAAAAACGATTTTTAAAAGTGATAGGTTCCACTGTGGCATCTTTCTTACACAGATGTCACCAAGCTTTGCTGTCATTCTTGCTTCTTTCCCACTGCCCGTCTTTGTCTCTTTTTCCAACTTCCTTGAAAACCCATTTGCTTTTATTATTTTATGTCTGTGAATGTTTTGCCTCACGTATGTCTGTGAACCATGCAAGTCTGGTGCCTGCGGAGGCCAGAAGAAGGTGTCAGTGCCCTCGAACTGGAGTCACAGGCGGTTGTGAACCACCGTGTGGGTGCCGGGAACTGAACTCAGGTCCTCTGCAAGAGCAGCCAGTGCTCTTTAACTCCCAAGCCATCTATCTCTCCAGCCCCCTCCTAACCTCCTTCTGGGTCCTCTTCTCCATCCGCACTGAGGTATCATGACCTCATTTTCACCTCGAGGCCGGATAAGGCTGAGAGATCCCAACTACCAAGATCCCAACTACCAGGATCCCAAGGGAGCCTCACATTTCCCGGAGCCAACTCTCTAGCCCCCCCACCCCCACTCCCCCACCCTTACCCCGCACCCCCGTTAATGTGTTTTAACACCATTGCTGTTGCATCTGTAAACTCCAAGCTCACTCATCTTGGAACCTTGACGACACGAATGTAAGCCAGGGACTCTTGCGACTCATCAGCTACTGAAGAAATGGCCAAGTGCCTGTCCAGCTCTATCCACCCACTTACCTTTGGAGCTGTGCTTCTCCTTGATCAGGTCAAAGGCCATGGCAAGAGGCAGCAGCAGAACAGGCAGGGCCATCCATAACAAAGCTATCCTGGAGTCTGAAATGCAAGCCCCAGCAAGTCGTGAGACTTGGCAAATGGGAAGATGTCTCTTTTCGCGGGAGCAGCCTGAGGGCTGGGTCTCCCTGGCTTCACTGAAGCCAAGCGGAAGAAGCCAAATTTAGCTTTGGTGCCCCGCCCACTTTCCTCCTCTGCTTCCGATTACATCACCGAATGACAGAATGATTGGCCTAACTATTGTGGTGAAATGTAAACCCTCCCAGGAGTTAGACTTGAGGAAAATTAATTTCTAGTGCAGAAAAAATTCACGAGAGAGGAGAAGGGGGAGAGAGAGAGACAGACAGACAGAGGAATGTTGTTCTTAGGTGACCTGAGGACAAACTTTGCAGGAGACATTTATTTATTTATTTACTTACTTACTTACTTATCTATTGATTTTTTGAGACAGGGTTTCTCTGTGTAGCTCTTGTAGACCAAGCTGGTCTCGAACTTACAGAGATCCTCCTGCCTCTGCCTCCCGAGTGCTGGGACTAAAGGCATGTGCCACCACTGCCTGGCGACATTGATCTATTTTTTTTTAAGATTTATTTAAAAAATACCCCGCCAAAGAGGAGAAAATAAAATAGGAGGAAAAGAAGAAAAGAAGGAGACAAGAGGAGGAGGAAGAGAGAGAGGAAGGAGGAGGAAGAGGAAGAGGAGGAGGGGAGGAGGAGGAGGAGGAAGGCAGGACAGCAGCAGCAGCAGCAGGAGGAGGCTGAGACCTGCAATCCCAGCACTCACTATGTGGAGGCGGGAGGATCAGAAGTCCTGGGCCAGTCTGAGCACATGAAATCTCTCAAACAAACAAACAAACAAACAAAAAACCGCAGCTGCCTGCAAGTTCCTGGCAGTCCGCTTTGGCACGCACTTCCCACCACAGAGGAAGACACCCACCTGAGAGAGGAAGATGCGCAACTTTCTCCTCGCCTCCAGGGAGGCTGACGGAGCAGGTCACATTCACCAAGGAGCTGTTGGTGACCAGCAGGAGCGTCTCCACCTGGAACAGCCCCTGGCTTCCTTGGTGGAAGGTCTCGGAAAGCGATGGTGCAGCCCTTCCGGCCATGTCCCTCCACTGCACGTGGGGCCGCGGGAACCACCCTTCGGACACACACCTCAGCTGCGCGCCTCCATTCTTCAGCACCTCCCGGGTGATCCGTGGGGTGGAACCCACCGCTGGGGGGGACAGAGACCAAGACAGCAGAGATGAAGCCTGGCGCGCTTCCCCGAGGGAGCGGGAGGAGAGAGAGGCTTGGGGAGGACAGCAGAGCTCTCGGTAAAATTTCATATAAATATATATATTATTGTAACCTCAACTCCCATCTCTTTCTTCCCCCTGGCCCTGAAAACAAAGTGGCTTTGATGAGATTTGAGACACATGGGCAGCTTGGAAGAAACTGGCTAGGAGATGTTTCTCAAAGCAGAGGCAGAAAGTGGTGTAGAAATCTTCCAGGCATTTCACGATTTCATGCGTCTGCCCATTAATTTAGACTGGGAGTCGGAGAGAGAAATATGAAGGATAGCAAGATTTGGGCCTATGTCCCTGGTGGACCTTGCGTGCCTTGTAGAACTGGTTCTGGGGTAATTAGTGCCTGCTATCCTCAGAGCACAGCAAGTCTCCTCAGTCTTTGCGAGTTCTGTGCTGAGTCTTCAAATCACTACACTTCCTGGAAACGGTGTGGTTCCCAGAATCTCAGTAACACTGTGGAATGACTCGTCTTGCGTAAAATCGTGGGGGATATTCTCAGATTTCCTGGAACCTATGGCTACCTTATGGAGGTGCTTGAGAGTCCTACTTTCCTGATGGTCCTATACTTAAAATTTTAAACCGCTGGGAGCGCCTGGTACTGCCAGTCTGGCCAAGAACTCTCTGCTACTGCTAAATGGACGCAGTATCAAAATGCCTTCCAAATTCTTTATCTCTGTACCCAGAGATTAGCACAGCTCTCAGACCTCATCGGACAAGTTTCTCTGTGCAGCGAGTGGTGGTTAAGACAGAAGCTCACAAGAGTCAAAGCACAGAGAAGTTTCAGTGGGGCTGCTCAGCCATAAGTGGGACATCTGTGCCCGGCTCCCAACCACCATGGAGGAGTGAAGTAGGGAGGGAGGTCGTAAGAGTCAGAGGTTTGGGGTGGGCACTGGAACTGTCTGAACATGACAGGAACACTGTCCTCACAAGACCTGCACAAGATCGAGCCTGTCAGCATTGCAGCACAGAGGGAGGGGATCACGAGCCCCACCCCTAACTGAGGAGCTGTGGACAGTTCATGGCTTCAGGGGAGGGGGTGAGACAGTTCTCTTTGAGGGCGTGGCTCCTGGTAGGCAGACCACGCTCCAGTCGATGGCTCCACTCCCAAGAGTACATGGACAGCTCGAATTGGAGTTGATGGGTTATTGAATTAAGAGAGACACAGAGAGAGAGACAGAGAGAGAGAGACTAGGAAGTTGGAGGGTAAAGAAGGGGTGGTGGATATTGGAGGAGTTAAGTGGGGGAGTTGGGGGTGGATGTGATTAAAAAAAAACACATGGTTTGAAATTCTCAGAGAATATGTGGTGATGCACTGTTTATGATCTAACAAAGCCACTGGGGATCAAAATGCAAAGCTAGCCACAGCTGTAGAGCCAGGTAGTGGAGATGCACACCTTTAAAATCCCAGCAGCCATACGAGCTAGCCACAGAAACCAGGTGGTGGGGGCACACACCTTTAATCCCAGGACTCAGAAGTCAGAAGCAGATGGATCTCTGGGAGTCCAAGACCACCCTGGGTTACACGAGAGTGAATCAGACAAAAAGAATAACAGAGCTCACACCTTTAATCCCAGCACTGGGGGGGGGGTTAAAGGGAAGAAGTGAAGGGTCTCGTGTGAGATTTGGTTTCCAGACAGGGAGAGCATTGCACTCTGAGGATTCGTGGACACAGGATCACCCATTTCGCTAAGTCTGCGGTAGAGGTCAGAGCTAGTGGCTTGGTTGCACTGCTTTTCTGATCTTCAGCTTGAAACCCAATATTTGTCTGTGGGTTTTTATTATTCATGTTACAAGAATTAGTAAAAGATATTTATTTAAAACCTTCAAACCAGCATCCCAGAAGTACCTACAGTGGTTGCTACACTGAAAGTTCAATATAAACTTGAAAATGAATGAGCATGGTGAATAGTTTGGGTACCAGAGAGATCTCCCAGGAACCAGCATCTGTCACAGCATTAAGAGGCTGGAGAAGCCAAAGACCCACCCGGAATCCTTACCCATCACCTGCACATCCACAAGGGCCTCCTGGTAGACACCATCTTTCCCAAAAAGGCACCGGTACTGCCCATCGTCTGAAGTTCTGGCGTCCTGAATCCGCAGGGTCAGCCTCCCCTGGTGGATTGTGTCACTCATGACCACAGTCCTCCCTCTGTACTCCGCCATCTGCTCTCCAGCCGAGCGGGCCCCGTCCACATACACATGGACTGTGGAGTAATAGTGGGACCGGACCCACCTCACCTCCATGCTCTGAGCATCAGCTTGAGGTGACAGGTGACAAGTTAACTCTATGTTCTCTCCGAGTCGGACAAGAATGGGCCGGGAAGGTCCAATCACCCTCGAGGTGGCTGTTAAATAAACCGGACAGAGAACAAGGAATGAACCAACATGGAGAAGCATCGCTACCAACACGGGCATCTCCTGTGAGGTTCAGAACCTGCAAGGACCCCAGCGGAGGAACGAGGCTCAGGGTCACATTTGGAGGAAGGTGGGACTCTTGGGCTCAGGATGCCATGTTTAAGGGAAAGCCTTGCTAGTTTAAGCGCGGGCCACACACCAAGATGATTTTTACCACAAAAACTCTCCAGAATAAAATGAATCCTCCATCTCTTCAAATCGGGCTGACTTTACACACCACACCAGTCCATGAGTTGGAGTTTAAACTATAAAATTTACCCTAAGATTGTTGTGGGATTAAATGGAGGCTCTTTGGCGATCATGCAACAGAGGATAGGTTCGGGAGATGTGAGGGTGTGGGGATCCACACCACCCTTGGTCTCTGGCTAAAAGTGTGTGTCAGTTGAGTGTGTAACAACAAACTCTTCCCTACGTCTGTGTCTGCAGGAGGCTGCGGAGGTCTGAGCCTTGCCAATCATTCATTCCCTCTCACATGAATTCCCTCTCACACCGCTGCACCAGCACCAGGAGAGCCCTGCCTCTCTTTCTCACGGGGGTCATGAGGTGTCCCTGTTGCTTTCCATGCTCTCCCCTTCCCCAGGGAGGTTCTCACTCACCCAGCTCTGTCTGGAGTTTCTCTGGAGAAAGAATGAGAAAAACAGTTTAAGGAGTTTGGTCTAAAAGAAAGAAAGGAAACCATCCCCAGAAATAAAGACAAGCTTTACATTTTATTTAAGAGCTCAATTTTTTGTTTGTTTGTGTTTTTGGTTTTGGTTTTGGTTTTGGTTTTACCAGACAGGGTTTCTCTGTATTGCTTTGGAGGCTGTCGGAGCAGCCCAGCCTCGAACTCATAGAGATCCGCCTGCCTCTGCCTCCTGAGTGCTGGGATTAAAGGCGTGCACCACCAATGCCCAGCATCTCAATTTTTTCTTAAAAAATACGAAAAGCAGAAAAATAATTCTCCCCCAAGGATCATCTGTTGATACGGATTTTACTTTTTTGCACAATAAAAAGCTGTCAATTCTATTACCAACAGTTCAGTTTGCTTCTGCTGATATTAAGTGATGGTAAAAAAAATACATATTACTTTTATAAATAAACACTAAGTATGAAGCACATGGCCTCAAACAAGTATCGCATAGAATTCCAAACTGGGCTCTATGATGCTGATTTAGCATTAACATAACATTTACTTTTAACTCTTCAGCTGCTCACATCAACAACATGTCCTGAGTGTTGTGATGAAATATTAATTTAAGGTGTGTTATTTGTTTATACTCTGGAACATTTCTTTAATGATGCAAAGATGTGTTTGGCTAAATAAAATTCACCTGCAGTCAGGACCCTGGATCAGCAACTAGCTGACAGGAAGTTGTGGGGAGGAGCCAGGTGGAGAAGGTTTGTTTGTAAGGAGGGGCAGGAGCAAGCATGCGGACTACTTGGGAGATACAAGGAGGGGCGCTAAGTGAGCTGCTTGCTATTCAGCCTCTCTGGGAAGCAGGATTCTACCTCAGTCTTTGAATCTTAAGTATTTTAGCAGGACAGAGTTTTGTTTTTGTGGGTTTGTGTGTGTGTGTGTGTGTGTGTGTGTGTGTGTTGTTTTTTTGAGACAGGGTTTCTCTGTATTGTTTTGGAGCCTGTCCTGGAACTCGCTCTGTAGACCAGGTGCTGGGATTAAAGGTGTGTGCCACTAATACCCAGCCGTGTGTCACTAATGCCCTGCTGGGACAGAGATTTAAATAGGTTTCCTTGGAGCTTTGAAAGAGTTGGTGCCTGAGGGAATAGGATTCCCTCAGGCTTCAGCTCTTGCAGCCTAGCCGCTGCTGGTGGCCATGGAGCTGCAGTTGCTGAATAGGAGAGCGCTCAAAAGGACGAAACAAAGAAAAAACAACAGAGTACCCTAAAAGTATCAGTTCAATTTAAGGCATTTAGAGACAATACTTGTCACATAATAGCAATGTCTATCTGGGCATGTCCTTAAAGCCTATTGTAACATAGTAACAGCCGGTAAGAAGCTCAGCCAAGAGGATTGTTGTGGGTTTGAGGCCATCCTAGAGTACAGACTGTTACTCTGTCTTAAAAGCAAAACAAAGGCCTAGTTCAAATAGAAAAGAGACAGATGACAGACAGATAGATGCTAGATATGTAGAAAGATAGGTGATTGATAGATAATATATTATAGATAGATGACAGGTCAATGATAGATTAATAGATGATGGTGATATATATGCGATAGCTAGTTGGCGGATTAGAAATATGAATGATAGGTAATAAATGGTAGATATATGATTGATAGATTAGATAGGTAGGTGATATATGATACTAGATGGTAAATAGATCTTTATCATTGAGCATGAGGATTTTTCTGGGCTCCCCAAATCATTCAGTGCGTCTCTCCATCTCTGCTCTAACTTCTGACAATGTAGGAAACACACCTCATAACTACCGTATTGTGTATTTTTATTGTTGTTTCTGTTAGTATTTATTGACAAGATTACAATTAAGAAGCTGTTAAGAGAGCCATCCCATTCTGACCGAGCATGTGATTGGTTCCTGGAAGTAACTGGCACAGCACAGGAAAATGTTTCAGTTGGTGGAATATTTTTATTATATTTCCAATGTATTGGACATCTGTCAGGGAAAACCAACACTGGAGTCAAACTTAGAACTTGAAGATTACTGAAATATTATGAACTGCCATCTAATCAAAATGCACCGTATGCTTTTCTCATAGAAATGTTTGTGAATTTTAACATATCATTTAAATATGATTAAAGAAAACACGGGTTACTGCTGAGCACCCCCCACCCCACCCCACCCTTCACGGTGCCAGAGGCAGAGCACTGACCTGGCAGGGCAATGGTGGCCTCCTTGGCCTCTTTGAGGCCGCGGTTGTAGATGGAGCAGGAAATGGTCTCTGAAGTGTCGTTCCTGACCACTAGTGTGTCCTCCACATAGAACAGCCCGTCTTCACCCAGCACGTGATTCTCAGAGAAGCTCGACAACTTTTCTCCCCAGCTGCCCTCCCAGAAGACCTCAGGCTCAGGGAACCAGCCCTGGGAGGTGCACACCAGCTGGACCTCTCCTTCTCCAGGTCCCTCCACGTGGATGTTTGGGGAAGATCCTAGGGCTGGAGAGAGAGAGAGAAAGAGAGGGGGGAGAGAGACAGAGAGAGAGAGAGAGAGAGAGAGAGAGAGACAGAGACAGAGACAGAGAGACAGAGAGACAGACAGAGAGAGAGACAGAGAGGAAGAGAGGGAGACAGAGAGAGAGAGGGAGGGAGAGAGAGAGAGAGGGAGAGAGGGAGACAGAGAGAGAGGGAGGGAGGGAGAGAGAGAGAGAGAGAGAGAGAGAGAGAGAGAGAGAGAGAGAGAGAGAGAGAGAGAGCGCACATCCTTGAAGTCCAGAGTCCACACAGTTCCAGAGGGAACCAAGACCCCAAGTCCCTCTCTGGGAGGAGGTGGGAGGGAGCTCAGGGCCCAGAAGCGTGTTACCATGGTTTCTGCTCACTCAACTGAGTTCTGGTTTTCCATTTGTTCCCCAGTTTGTGTCTTTAAACTTTAGCATCTGACCATACTTTTCTTCAGATTCGGATGGTGAAAGGGGAGAGGAGGGAGACGTGACAGAATTTGTTTCTTGTCTCTGGCCCTGCATAGATGTGGTGTTGATTTACTCACGATAGCTCTCTGCCCCCAGATTTCCTTTTCCCATTCTCAGTGTTCTCTGTACTTGGTGCCGGTCTGCCATTTTTTTTAATGATATCGGGACTCTAAATTAGATATTTATTATTAAACTCGGACATCATGGTCATGAGCTATTTTCATTTCTTCTGTGGGCAGTTGCAATTTTGGCACTCAGTAAATGCATGGGAAATGACTGTACCTTAACGTTTTTTTTCTCAATGGAGAAGTCTAACTCATTTGTATAAATCATAAAGTGCCTTCTTTAATATCACAACCAGTTACTGGCTGAGAGAATACATGGATAAGCCTCTCACTTGCGCCCAGAGGAAACACCTGGCTTAATTCTCAAAGTCCCTGAGTGTACATGAATCAGTGTCCAGGTCGGCTTGCATCTCAGAGATACTCGGATTCTCATGTCCACTTTGAATCAATAGAACATAGTGATGGGAACAATTACAGCCATGAGTGTCAAGAAAAAAAAAAGTTTAGTGTGGGAGTTTCTCAGAACAAACAAACCAAAAACTAAAAGCAAAACGGATGTGTAGCCACACTGTCCCACTTCTGGGAAAACACCCAAGGGAATTTAAACCCATTTCATTCACTTTAGCACCCGTCTCAAAGCCCAAGTTGTAAAAGCAACCTAGACATCCACCCACAAATGCGTGGATAAAGAAAACGGGATATGAGTGCACGATGGTATTTTGTTAAATCATATTTTATGTGTGTGGGTGTTGTCTGCATGTGCATCTGGGCACCACGCGTGTGCCTGGTGCCTGTGGAGGCCAGAGAAGGCATTGGATGTCCTGGAACTGGAGTTAAAGGAGGTTGTAGTTGCTGTGTGGGTGCAGGAATCGAATCTGGGTCCTCTGGGAGAGCGACAAACACTCCTACCTGCCGAACCACTGCTCCAGCTCCCACAATGCAGTTTGTTCTCAGGAAAAAAAAAAAGGATTAAATCAAGGCATTCACGGGGAGTGCATGAAATTGGAGACCACCATATTAAGCAGAAGGAGGTTATGGGGTGGGGGAGGGAGACAGGAGCAGGCAATGGGTAAATATGGTCCAAGTCCATGATAAACTTGAATGAAACTGTCCTGAGACACATCATTTTGCACAAGGAATGCGTGCTAATGGATATTTTAAAGGTGGCAAAGAAAGAGCTGCATTGGCCAGAGGGGTCATTGTCTGCTTCCCCTGGTAAAGCAACGGGGTTTGCCTGACTTCCCCTTCAGCATGTGGTGCGGTTATGACAGCTTGCACAAGACCGGGTAAGCTCAAACCAGACAAAGCCCCAGTGTAGATGGGGAGATGAGCCAGAATCTTACCACTACTTAGACACTATTGGAGACTGACAGCCGCTGGGAGAAGGGTCAGCTTTCCTTAAGGGGTGCAGCTCCTGTAGGCTGACCAAGCCGGCCACACACCCAAGACAGCCCAGACTGTACTGGATGAGGGGAGGCAGAGGAGACACAGATGAGCTGGTAGGGAAGGGGGTAGAATCTAGGAGGAGTCAGGGAGGGGGAGAATATCATCAGAGTACACTGTATGAAGCTCTCAGATGCAGAAGAGGAAGATGGCTCAGTGGTTAAGGCACTGGCTGCTCTTCTGGAGGACTTGGGGTTTGATTCCCAGCACCCACATATGGCGGCTCACAACCACCTGCAACTCCAGTTTCAGGGGATCTGACCCTCTTCTGGCTTCCCATGGTCACTGAGCACACACACAGGTCGCACAGACGCACAAGGGTAAAGCGCCCACACACAAAACATAGAACAGATCATTCTTCTGGACGCCCCTGTTCTGGCCCTGGATCCCCTGTGCAGATACTCACCTGTCACTTGGAGCCGCACACTCGCCTCCCTCCAGTAGTCCCCCTCCTGGAATCGGCACCAGTATTGCCCGTCATCGCCTGGCTGGATCTGGCGGATCTTCAGAGCCACACTTCCCTCATCAGCAGCGCTGTCCTCCGTCTGCTCCACCCGGCCTCTGTACCCCTCCGCCTGTAGCCCTGCAACCTCGGCTCCTTCCCGGTGCACAAGCACAGGCGAGTCCGGGTCGGAGCGGTACCACCTCACCTCCATGTGCGCTGCTGCCCTCTGGGGGAGGAGCCGGCATGTGAGCAGGGCATCTTCCCCGACTTTGGCCAGGATAGGAAGGGCAGGACCGACGACCCTGAAGTCATCTAGAGAGCAGTGGAGAGGGAAACAGCTAAAGGACGGGATGCTCGCTTTGAGCAGCCGAGAGGCTGGAATTTTGGTGCCAGGAGGCAGGAGGGGTTTCCCGCCGATGCTTCAGAGAACCCGAGCATGGAAATCTGCACATTTTCTGGTTAAAAAAAAAATAAACTACGTATCCTAAAATTTAAAAGTTGGAGCATGAATGTGTCACCAGCCTAGCGATTGGAAGGCAATTCCATGGTTAAGGAACCTTTGAGATCTGGGATTTCTTTTTTAAGTATTTTATTTTTAATTATGCAGCTCTGTGTGGGTACACACATGTGTGTGCAGACCGGATGAGAGTGTGAGATCCCTAGGAGCTGGGGTTACAGGTGGCTGTGAGCCATCTGTCGTAGGTCCTAGGGACTGGACTCGGGCTTCTGGAGGGGCATTCAGCTTTCTCAACAACTGAGCCGCCTCTCCTGCCCTGAGATTTGCACTCTTAAACCACGAAACTTTAAGGCACTAACAGTGACAACACCATGGGGCTTCATCCCCTAATAAATTAATATGTGAGTTGGTGTTTCCACGGTGAACTTCATCTTGATTCTATAGCCATTTTGAGTTTGGGTAAATCAACCATGCCATTAGGTCCTGCAGTCCTCCAGGGTTGCCCATTCCAGGGTGGGACCTGACTTGGTTTTATTTCTTTCCATCTGGAGAAGGCAAAAGTCCTGTAAGCAGCCAATATGGGTTTCACAGAGAGTGAGAGGCACGGCTTGCCTAGAAAGTTTGAGTCTTCCGGTCAAATTTTAAGTCAGCTACCTTGATATCTAAAAATGTTTGATAATTCTGTGTGTTGCTGTCTTAGGGTTTCTATTGATGCAAAGAAGCACCATGACCAAAGAGAAGTTTGGGGAGGAAAGGGTTTATTTGACTCATACTTCAGCATTGCTCTTCATCATTGAAGGAAGTCGGGACGGGAACCTAAACATGGCGGGAACCTGGAGGCAGGAGCTGATGCAGAGGCCATGGTGGGGAGCTGCTGACTGGCTTGCTCTCCGTGGCTTGCTCAGCCTGCCTTCATGTAGAACCCAGGACTCTCCCCCATTGATCACTAATGGAGAAGCTGCCTTACAGCTGGATCTCATGGAGGTATTTCCTCAGATGAGGCTCCTTCCTCTGATGACTTTGGCTCGTGTCAAGTTGACACACAAAACCAGCCAGTACAGTGGCTGTGCCTAAAAATTTCAAATGTCATTTATACCGTGTTCTTCCTCAGCAGCCCCAGCGGGGTTGTCAGGAGTTCATGAGTTTGAGGCCAGCCTGGGCTATGAGAGACCCTGCCTAGGGAGAGGGAAGGGCTCAGAAGCTTAGCAGGGAAAGACACTTGCAGCCTGAAGAGCCGAGTTCAAGTCCCAGGGTACACTCGGTGAAAGAAGAGAAAGCTTTGGCAAACTGTCTTCTAACGTCTGCACACAAGCCCCAGCCATGCATTTGAGCCCCCTCCCCCATAAATGTAACATTAAAGCTAATAAAAGTAGTCATAAGAATAAATTTATTTCACTCAGATCTAAGATGAAATAAAATAGATACTGCTCAAAAAAAAAAAAAAAGCTCTCCAGAACTTAAACGGAGATCTTGTGTCACCCGCCACTGGGATTTATTTACATGTGACATCTTACCCACAGTGTTAAGAGCACGGCATGAAAACTGCGCATGCCCAGATACCTAGTGAAGCGCGCGCTTTCCCGGTGACTTTCATGGCCGCCTAAAGTTGTTACTCGCGCCCAAGAGAGCCGGCAGCATTGGAAAGCTCACCGTGAGCCCTGGACCCCCACACCCCGAGTTGCTGCACTGTCTGGTTAGGTTGCCCATCTTAGATCCGCAGGGGGTGCCAGCAAGGGAGGGAAGGACCGTACCTGGGTGCTTCATAGTCAGCAGAATGAAGAGCAAAGAGGCAGCCACGCCAGACAGACTGTACCCTGGACCATTCACCATCCTCCCTGGAGCAAACACGGGAGAAAGTGCAGCTGTGATGCTCCCAGCACGCCCTGCAGTTTCTGTGACATCTGCTGTTTGTTTTTGTCAACCCGACACACGCCAGAGCGGTGGTTCTCAACCTACCGAATGCTGCGGCCCTTTAATACGGTTCCTCATGGGTCACCCCCAAGCATAGAATTGTTTTCTTGTTGCTACTTCATAACTGTAATTTTGGTAGCCATGAATAATAATGTAAATGTCTGTGCTTTCCGATGGTCTTAGGCCACCCCCGTGAAAGGGCTCTATTGACCCTCTAAGGAGTCGCCACCCGCAGGCTGAGAAACGCGGAGCTAGAATAGGGACCCTCAATGGAGGAGCCGCCTCTGTCTCCATCACATTGGCTTGTGGGAAAGTCTGCACCGTTTTGATCCATAAGGAAGCCGGACGTTAGTGGCGCAAGCCTTTAGTCCCAGCACTCGGGAGGCAGAGGCAGGCGGATTTCTGCGAGTTCGAGACCAGCTTGGTCTACAAGAGCGAGTTCTAGGACAGCCTCCAAAAAGCCACAGAGAAACCCTGTCTTGAAAAACAAACAAACAAGCAAGCAAAAAACCCCAAAACAAGCAAGATGATGGATGAGGGTGGATCCAGCCCACTGTGGGCGGTGCCACCCCTGGAAAGGTGGGTCTGCATGATATAAAAAAAAAAAAAAAAAGCAGGCTGAGCAGCCGGGCATTGGTGTCACACACCTTTAATCCCAGCACCCGGGAGGCAGAGGCAGGCGGATCTCTGTGAGTTCGAGAGCCAGCCTGGTCTACAGAGCGAGTTCCAGGACAGCCTCCAAAGCAATATAGAGAAACCCTGTCTCAAAAAACCAAAAAAAAAAAAAAAAAAAAAAAAGCAGGCTGAGCAAGCCATCGAGGGCAAGCCAGTAAGCAGTGCTGCCTCACGGTTCCCGCTTCAGTGCTGGCCACCAGGTTCCTGCTGGAGTCCCTGCCTTGACCTCCCCTCACAGTCAATGGTAAGCTGACAACCCTTTCCTCCCCAGGTTGCTTTTGCCCTTGATGTTTATCATCGCGACAGAGAGCCAGCCAGGGCGGTGTCTGATGGCTGTGCCATCTTAGCAAACAGCCAACACCACATCCACCACCGCCAAACTGTGGTCTGTCTCCGTTCTTTGCAGTTATTGGTCACATCTGACCTCTCCCTACGAGTTACTCCTTAGGCTCCGCTCCTATCGGGTCTCACATAGCCCAAGCTGGCTTCTAACTTGCTGTGTCGCTGCCGAGGGGCCTTGAAACTCCTCCCTCTACCTCTCAAAGTGAGTTTTGAGACTGAAATTCCCCACACCGGGAGGCAAACACTGAAGAGGGTGAGGCAGGAGGATGTCCAGTTTGAGGCCAACCTGAGCGAAAGGAAGTTTTCTGATCAGAATGAATAGAGCCCAGAGCTAAAGAGACAATAGCAATGAAAAGAGAATGATGCAGCCTGTTGGGATGACGCAGCACTTAGAAGGCTGAGGCAGGAGGATTACCATGAGTTGGAAGTCAGCATGATGCGGCTCTCTGAAAAAAATGTGCAGTGGAGATCAACAGGAAGTGAGAGCCTTTGTAACCGGTGCCCACTTCCTGATGGGACGCTGGCTGTGCATAGACCTTACTTCCTCATCTTAGCAGACTTCCCCAGATCCCGTGTCTCTCTTTCTCTAGAGACTCTCCAAACCACTCACCTGTCTCTCCTCTCTCTCCTTTGGGGTGAAATCGAGGCTGTTGAGTTTTACTGTCTCAATCAGGGGTGTGTCCCTCATTCACATAGCGGGCTTCTAAAGACCGGTGAGCCCAGGACACACTGGCTGGAGAGGCGACTGTGGAGGCATCTCTGGGTGAAAGATGATTTGAATGCTGTCAACCTGAAGGCAGAGCCAAGTCCCCAAGGTTCACTCTAAAAGGAGACTCCAGCCGGGACAGCACACCCACCACCGGCCATTGCAATACTCTCAAAAGTGAAACTCGGAGGGAGTATGGACTTTGACTGGACCCTGCTCTGGTTTTGATAGACTCCTAGGCACAGATATAACACTGGCATTTACCTTGTCAGAACCCGAGTGCTCAGGCTGTACCCTGCTCCACACCCTGTCCAGAAGGCGGTCTGGTAGCACCCCACATCATGGCTACCAATGTCCTGCCCGCCAGCTTGCTAAATATCTACCATTCCCCACATGGGGCCAAGCTCCCTTCAGAACACAGAGCCTTTGGTCTTGCAGGGTTGGGAACATGACTGTCTATCTTAGCCCTACTGAGGAAAAATAAGGCAGGAACGTTCCTTCCCTGAGGTCAGAGCATCAGGCCAAGGTACCCTGAGTGGCACTTGGTGATTTTATCTTTTTTTAAAATCGATTTTGCTGGAAAACAAAAGGTTTAGCCAAGAAATTTGATAAGGTTTCTGACACAGTGGGTGTGGGTACAATGGAGGGCGTTGGGCACCCTGGCGTGTGCTCCTCTTCCCACAGCCCTTCCTTGGGGTTCCCCAGAATTCTTCTAGGCCAGTGAGGGGTCTCTAGAGTGTGGCAGGGCAGTGCTTATCCCCCTTGGGAGAATTCTCTTCACTGTAGCAGTGTAGAAGCGGAAGCATACAAAGCACCATGGTTGGGGTCCAGCTGCCTGCTTTGATTCCCTCTCTCAGGATGCTCGGCCAATCCTGCACACAGTTGCTGGTCTTGATGTACAGATAGTGGGGTCTAGATGAGGCCCTGCAGTGCAGCATGGGAGGTTCTCAAAAGGGAGGGGTGAAGGGGAAGGACACAAGGGCCCTTTCTCCCTCAGAATGAAAGGGTTGTGCCCTGTGTGTAATCATTAGTTTTGTTGTGCGTGTGCTCTTTTTTGATACAGGGATTTTCTGTGTAGTCTTGGATGTCCTGGAACTCTGTAGACCAGGCTGGCCTCAAACTCACAGAGATCTGCCTGTATCTGCCTCCTGCGTGCTGGGGTTACAGGTGTGCACCACCGCTGCCTGACTTTGTAATGGTTAGTTTTAAATGCCAGCTTGACCCAACTAAAGATTGCATAGATTGGTCTGTGAGGGAAAGTCTTAGTCGAGTCAGGAGAAGCAGGAAGACTCAGTCCTGAATGTAGGAGGCACCATTTCATGGACTGGGTCCTTAGCTGGGTAAGAGTGAAGAGGCAAGACTAGCTGAGCAGGCATTTACACGATCAGAGCGTCCATGACATCACAGGATCAGAGCATCCATGATATCACAGGATCAGAGCGTCCGTGACATCACAGGATCAGAGCAGCTGTGACATCACAGGAGCAGAGCGTCCATGATATCACAGGATCAGAGCATCTGTGACATCACAGGAGCAGAGCAGCTGTGACATCACAGGATCAGAGCGTCCGTGACATCACAGGAGCAGAGCAGCTGTGACATCACAGGAGCAGAGCATCCATGATATCACAGGATCAGAGCAGCCATGACATCACAGGAGCAGAGCATCCGTGACATCACAGGATCAGAGCGTCCGTGACATCACAGGAGCAGAGCATCCGTGACATCACAGGAGCAGAGCGTCCGTGACATCACAGGAGCAGAGCATCCGTGACATCACAGGATCAGAGCAGCCGTGACATCACAGGAGCAGAGCATCCGTGACATCACAGGAGCAGAGCAGCCATGACATCACACGATCAGAGCATCCGTGACATCACAGGATCAGAGCAGCTGTGACATCACAGGATCAGAGCATCCGTGACATCACAGGAGCAGAGCAGCCGTGACATCACAGGAATTTGTAGTCAATCTGGCTTTCTTAGGAAAGCCTTTCAGCAGAGATTTGCCCCCTTGAAGTCCCATAGAACTTAAAGAGAGCTAAAAAACTAAAGAAAGCAAGGATTGGGGGCGGGGCAAGAGCAAGGGAAGGAAAGGGAGGGAGGGAGGGAGGGAGGGAGGGAGGGAGGGAGGGAGGGAGGGAGAGAAGATAGGAGAGGCAGAGGCAGGGAGGTCAGTGGTAAATGACACTCCAGACATTTACGTTTCGGAGTGGGCAGTTCTTAGGTCTGGCATCCGTCTGTCTGCTACAGAGCTCTTTGTACTGTTGGGGTCATCACGGTCCGAAAAAGTTCTGACAAACCAGTTCCTCTGAATGTTTAATCTTTCACTTAAATTTTTAATTTACTCCAAGTCGACCCTATAAGATTTTACAAGTGTGAAATTATTGCTTTCTACTCTCCAATCATTGTTTTCTGAAAATGATAAAATCGATTTTGCTGCAGATAACAAACCAGGTGCCTCCGGGGGAACTGGAAGGACCACGCATGCGTGTGCCCCAATCCTCCAAACTCCCCAGGACCACAAAGAACCCCAGTCCAGACCAACGCTGAATTCCAGGTCCCAGAACTGTGAACATGCCCGCCCACTTGTCACTTTGACTCACACCCGCCCTGTGAGCGTGTGAGCCCCCAGAAGCTCCGAGCTCTTCACTCGCCCGGGTCAGGGTCAGTAATTTATCCTCTTGGGTACACAACTCCCCTCACCGACCCTGGAAGGTCAGTTGGAGCTTCAGGTTGGAATATTCTCTAACGGGGGTCAGCAGGCCCCTTCTCTCAAAGCCGGCTCGCGGCTGCCCTGTCCGGAGACGATGCTCCCTCCGAGGAACAAACCGGAGAAGTAGGGCCTTCAACACTTCAGACTCTCAGGCTCAAGTCACACTGGGAATAAGAGGAGCACCCTAGTTGAGAAAAAAAACTAGAAGTGAAGCTTACTGGATACCAGCCCCCCAGCATTTGCACCCCTGAAGCCCACCCCATTCTTCTTGGGTCCCTCCCCTTGGTTGCTGTCTTGGTCCATCTGGACTCAGGCATGGCTCCATCTCTGTGAATTGCACCCAATGAGGACAGTTCCGTGTGTTACCAGCAGGTGGCGGATTTGTCCAAGACAAACGCTTTTCAAGGTGCCGTGCCCCAAAGCCTCACAAATAGTAACTTTGAAACCATCATTGTATCAAATTGTGGGGTTTTGTTTTGTTTTGTTTTGTTTTGTTTCATAGGCCTCAATTCAGGGCCTGGGTGTTGGGGCAGGGGTAAAAATAATGAGACTCTGTTACCTACTATGTCAAGTCTGCTAAGGACCCCAGGGCAATTCCAGGACCAAAGCTTTGTTGGGGAGTAGGGAAGATGGAGCGATGGAGGGAGGCTGCTTCCTCAGCTTCAAAGCCGCTGCCATGTTTCCTTGCCTGGCACTCTTTTTTTTTTTTTTTTTTTTTTGGTTTTACGAGACAGGGTTTCTCTGTATTGTTTTGGAGGCTGTCAGTCCAGCCCGGCCTCGAACTCACAGAGATCCGCCTGCCTCTGCCTCCCGAGTGCTGGGATTAAAGGCGTGTGCCACCACCGCCCGGCGTGCCCGACACTCTTAAAAGGCACCTCGAAAACGATCAGTTCTTCTCAGAGCCAGCTGAAATTCTGAGAGTAGATAGCTCAGGCTTGATTGCTGTGACAGTTCAAAGGCTTTGGAGGAGTCAAGAGCATCGCCAGAGAGACCATGGTACTTGCTTAGGCTGGAAGACTGGGGGGTGGGTCCCTCATAGTTCACTCTGGGCTGTAGGGGAAGGAGGCTGAAGTATTAGGGACACTGAGTTTTCAGTACTAGGGTAAAAGGTTACTTGTAAATACATAGAAAACTTGGTAGATAACGAGGAGGAGCATTACATCTCCAGAGGCTATAGCCCCTTATTTAATTCATATCACTGGAATTCCTAACAGTTGGCAGCTGTTTAGTTTCATGAACCCGTGTGGATTTAACGCACTGCATCTGGGTCTAATTTCATTCTAACTAGGAAAGCCCGTGGCTTCTCCTAAGCTAGGTAACAAAAGAGGACCCTAAGAGAGACATACATGGATGGATCCCCCTGGGAAGGGGAAATAGATCTCCTGAGTAAACTGGGAGTGTGGGGGGGGGGTAGAAGGGGAGGGGGATGGAGAGAAGGGGAGTGGGGAGGAGGAGAACATGAGGGAATGGACAGTTGGGGGGAAGGACAGAGAGGGAGAGCAAGGAAAGAAATATCTTGATAGAGGGAGCCATTGTGGGGTCATTGAGAGTGGAGAGGGTGCCTAACCTGGCCTTCCTCTGTAATCTGATTGATTACCTTATTGTCTTCCTAGAACCTTCATCCAGTAACTGATGGAAGCAGATACAGAGATCCACAGCTAAGCACTGGGCTGAGCTCCGGGAGTCCGGTCGAAAAGAGGGAGGAGGGATAATATGAGCAAAGGGGTCAAGACCATGATGGTGAAACCCACAGAAACAGCTGACCTGAGCAAGTGGGGGCTCATTGACTCCGTGCTGACATCTGGGGAACCTGCACAGGATCAACCTAGGCCCCTGAATTCCGGTGACCGTTGTGTGGCTTGGCAGTTTGTGGAGCCACTGGCAGTGGGACCAGGATTTATCCCTAGGGTATGAGCTCATTCCCATCAGGAGGGATACCTTGCTCAGCCTAGATGCAGGGGGGAGGGCCTTGACAGACTTTGCTGACTCCCCATGGGAGGGAGGCCTCACCTTCTCTGAGGAGCAGATGGGGGGTGGAGGTGGGGAGAGCAGGAGGAGGAGAGGGGGAGCTGGGGTTGGTATGTAAAATAAAAAAGATTGTTTTAAAAAATGAAAATTAAAAAAAAAAGGGAGAGAAAAAAAAACAACCCAAAAGCTTTTCCTGCACACCAGCAGCAGGCTTTTCTAAGGAAGAAATTGTGAAAGGAACTCAACCCTTAACAGTCACAATTCGCTGCAAACTAAAAAAAAATGACTGATGAAAAAAGTTGAAGAAGCCAGGCTTGCCAGGGTCCTGTAACCGTGCCTCAGCGTGATAAAACCAGACTATACTACAGTTTTTATGCTGGGTTATAGTTTGGCAGAGGGGAGCAACATTCCTGGCATGCGATGAGGCCCCTGACGTAATTAAAAGAAAAATAAATTAAGTGAGCAGAAAAAGAAACTGAAGAAGATGCAGAAACGAAAAAAACGCTTCCTATGTTTGTTGTTTAGAAGAATTAACATCGTCAAAATCGCTATTCTGCTAAAGGCATTTTAACGATTCAATGCCATCTCTGTCAACATAACAATGGCGTTGTTCACGGAGCTATAAAAAAAAAAAGTCAGTCCTAAAGCAAAAAGAGCAGACCAGGATGTGACGCTGAGCAGCTCAGGGTACAGAGGCTGACGGGGAAGGGGAGCCAAAGCAGAAGCTGGGGGTCAGCAGATCTCAGGCCACACAAACCTAGACTGCACCGGAGCCCCAGAACTGGCCTGGGCCCAGCGTGGAAGCGCTCACTCTTATGCTGGGGAGGAGTCAGAGTGGGAGAGTGAGGACAGACCACAGGCAGGTCTGCAGTGGATGCATTTGTATTCACATACATCCAGTAACCTTTATTCCATTCCCCTTTGCCTCCCGGAGGCCCTGTTTGGCTCTCGGGGAACATGTGCCAACCCCAGTTCTCCCGCGCCCCCCCCCCGTTTTCTGAACACACATTTTTGAGCGTGGGGTCCAAACCTTGTGGTCTGGGTGGTGGCGAGCACGACGGAGCCGTGCCATGCAGTGGGCCAGCCATCGCGGGCTCGGACACGGGCAGCAGACACAGGTGACGCCCTCGGCAGTTCTGTGTCCCGTGGGCTCTGCTGGGAATGACGTCAGCGGGACTTCCCAGAGGCCTCTGACCACTTGAGGGTAAAAGGTCCCCCCCTGACCAATGCTCTCCCAGCCTTAGGATATATATATATTTCTTGTGATAGGTTACATTCTGTTTCCTGAAGGAACTATGTCTAGAGGCTCATCACGGTCGATTGTCACCCAGTAAATGTCATTCAGGTGGCATCAGAAATCCCCTCACACACGAGACGCTAGAGTTTGGGGGAGCAGGAAACCACAAATGGTGTTCAGATAGAAACTTCCTCCTGTCACAGGGAAAGGGGAACTGAAAGTCTTTTTCTGAAGTCTAGCCTAATAATCTCCCGAGCAGAACCAATCAGCACAGGGGAACTGGGCAGCGTCATCAGTTGCCGAGCAGCACTGTGTATCTGGAAGGACTTTAAACTCACTTGCCAAGAACACAGCATTACAGAAGCTTGCAAAAGAGAGATGCAAAAATCGTGTTTGGATCTGGCTCTGAAACAGGTGGTCAGACCACATCATAAAATTCTGACATCAGCCTCTGGGCCTGGAATGATCCCATGGGACGTTCCTGACTCTGGGAAATGGGTACCTAACGCACTGCTGGTCTCCTCTTAGTGACCTGGGGGTTGATGCCAGATGTCTAAAGCCCCTGTGTGATGACACCATGAGGGATGGCTGCCCTCCTGGTCTGTGGGGTTCTTTGCTCGGCTAGATAGGACCTCACACAGCAGTGTGGACGATCCGTCCTGAGCAGTCTCCATCCAACTGACATTCAACAACTACTTCAGCACGCCCGAGGGCTCTTCACTGGGTTCCAGTCCTTTCTGTGTGCAGATAAATTTTTTTGTGTGTGTTACTGGATGTACAAGAGATGTAAAGTCTCCTGGCCTGCAGGGGCCCCTCTGGAGGATCTCAGAGCACACTCTTGTCTCAGAACTTCAGTCCTTATAAGACAGGAGAACCTCCACAGCCCGCTGGTGCAGGCTGCAGGGTGGTAAGTCCTCCTGTGGGCACCACCTTACTGTTCCTGGTGGGATAAGCTGTGCCCAAGCCATCCTTTAATTGTGACCTGAACACCCAGAGGAGGCTTCACCCTCAGGTGGCATTCTGTCTCAAGATCCAGGCCATGACAGAAACTGGAGAAGGCACCCCACACAGCCCCTGGCTTCTAGTGATATAGAGTGTTCTACCTCTCTCTAGTCTTTGGAGACTTGGGGCTCAGTTTACTTTCTGATGTTCTCAGAATACAGCGGATGCCAATGGTCCTGGACTCTCGGGCTGAGCTGACCATGTTGGGGACCAGCACCCCGGGAATGGAGATGTAGCCAGCAATGAGGGGGGGTGGTCCTTGAGTGACATTCTGTTACCAGAATCCAGGCATTCTCCATGGCCCAGTTGTGCAGTTTCCCCTTAGATGATCCAGTGTCCGTTAAAACCAGTCTTCCAAGCTGCGGTACCCAGAGATACAATCTACATTTTCATGCTAGTGAATTTTAGATTTATTGTATCCTCACTAATGTGTTTCAGACAGAACTTGAAGTGGGATAGAAGAGTACGTGTTTTACATTCCCAAACGCTTGAAATTTTTTTTGTTTAGCCTGTCTAAAGACTCTGTTTTTTGAATAAATGTAAAAGCTTCTTCTTGAAGAGAATCCTTTCTTGAAAGGGTGAGTAGAGAATAGGATATTAAATAGTGAGTAGCCTAGGACCTAGACGCTCAAGTCCTCTCCCTAGCAACAGATGTGTCAGCCTGAAAGATTTTTTCTGATTGGCTAAAAGGGAAGCGGTTGCATTTTAATCCCCTTTCCTTCTCATTATTTCTGCCTCAGTCTGTGATCTCTTCTGACCCCACCGAACACCAAGAAGAAAATGGCCATGACTGGAGCCCTGGTGCTGAGACTCTTCTTCATGGCTGTCCTGATGGGCCCCCAAAAGTCATGGGCTATCAAAGGTAAGTGCCAGGAAAAGCAGAACCAGGGGCAGTGGCTTTGGAGACAGGCACACCGGGCACTTGGGAGACAGCCTTGGGGCTGACAGGTAAGAAGAGAGCGCGCAGCAGGTCTGAATCTGAAGACCGTAGTGCAGTTACACTTTGGGGGAAATTTTTCCTTCCTGCAATGAAGTAGGGCAGGACAGGTTCGTTGAGCAAGACAGGTTAGGGCGCGCGTTGCTAGGACCACCATCTCACCAGAGGCCAGACTTGGAGGGCTACGTGGAAGCAGTTCTTAAAAGGCGCCAATGAGTCATACATCTGGGCTTTAATTTTTTAAAGAAAGTTACTAATTGGAAGCCCCATGCCATGTTGTGAAGATCCAGTGGGGGAAAATAATATTTGAGAAGCCCTTAGTGCTGTTCTCGGGTGAACACACCTGGCAGTTTCAATTTTGCCGTTGTGGACCCCATCGCATTTCAGGCACAGGCACTGTATTTAAGGCCACTGGAAAGAAAGGTCACCAACCACCAGCCCCCCATCCCCACCCCCAAATCTACCCAAGAGGATGGAGTGGGGGGGAGGCAGGCACACTGATGGGAAGTGCGTTTAGTTTACTGGCTCTTGGGGCAGTGGTAGCCACGCCCACCCCTTTACATTACAAGGTAAGCGGTCACCACTACTGAGTTCTGAGTAGAAACATGAGTAAGTGGAGACTGCCTACTGGACCCCGTCATCATCTCCAAGGCAAATGTTTTGTGCCACCTCCTGCTGTGAGAAGGGACCCCGCATCCAGAGGGACCCTGTCAACAGCTACAGGCAGAGAGGAAAGCCCTAAAGTGGAGACTCAGCTCCAAGCACGAAAGCAGCAAGTTTGGGCTTCTATTGCCCAAGGACTTAGAAAGGCAGATGCTCTCCCTGTGGCGGTGTGGCTGGAGGGGAGGGGCATCCAGAATACGTGTTTGTGCATAGAGGCAACTATAAATAAATCCCTCAGTCAAACATTGGAATCCGTCACCATAGTCTCAAAGGCAACAGGGACGCAATGGTCTCCTTATCTCCCTCACCGCTGGTGTTCTCCTTGCCAATCCCAAAAGACCATGTCCCACAAAAGCTTAGTCATGATCTAAGTAGTGTGTAGCAAAGTTTCAAGGTCAACCCAGGTGTGCCCCTTCTCCCAGAGGAAGCCTTGGAGCGAATGTAAGTGGTTCGAAATGTTGCAAGGTCTCCGTCCCAACCTCCTGGGCACCTCAGGCTCCGCTGATGTCTCTAAGGGGTCTGGTCCTTGGTGCTTAAAGCAGTTTCTGCCCACAGAACATCAGCCGTGTTTGTTAGAGGCCCCCGGTGGGGTGTTAGGAAAGCTCTTGCCTCAAGCCTATCCTGGCAGAATGGATCTCACTGGAGAGCTGTGATCAGAAGCTCACTATGAAGTAGATAGTGATCTGCTCCCATCACAGGTGTGTGTGTGTGTGTGTGTGTGTAATGGGATCAGGTGCCACAACTGTATTTGATTCCAGAGCTCCTAATCCTGCTGGTGTGCTGACCTAAGTGATTTACACCCTCACCACAGGGAGTGAGGGACCCTTCTTTCCCATGCAACACCGCCACCACCGCCACTAGATTCCTAAAGCCATGAAGTCACCAAACACCCACTCAAAACCCTGTTTTCTGAGTCAACCTGCCTCTCCCTCAGGGCTCAGGGGACAATGCAGGAGAGGGGGGCGGAAAGAGCCTAAGAGCCAGAGGATGGAGAGGGCTGCTGTGAGACCCTGTCTTTCAGACATGCCATGACTGCTGCTCACATGAGTGAACGTGTGGTTCCCAGCACTCTAGCACTGATGGGGGAAGGGTCTCTGCAGGCCCCGCCCCTATCTGAGGGGCTGCTGTTTGCTGCTGAGCGAGAGTTAGCTCTCTTTTGGTGCCTGTGTTAGGGGGTGGCCACTGGTAGGTGGCTCAGGCTTCAGTGGGTGACCTCATCCGCGTGCATGCAAGGACAACACTAATTCGACTTGCTGGGCTAACAAGGAAGGCTACGTCGTCGTCGAAGGCTGTGCCATGCATCCATCCCGAGCACAGCCACCTTCTCTCCCACCACCCAGACCCTGTCTCTTAACCCCCAGCCTATCCTCTGCTGTCCTGCTTGTGCCAGTCCCTGTCCGTCCATCCGTCCGTCCGTCCGTCCATCCATCCATCACACCCACCACCACCCCCCTCTCCCATCTCCCTCCCTAAACTCCCCTTCCCTTCCTTTTCAGAGGAACACACCATCATCCAGGCGGAGTTCTTCCTTTCCCCAGATGAAAAAGGGGAGTATATGTTTGATTTCGATGGCGACGAGATTTTCCACGTGGACATCGCAAAGTCGGAGACCATCTGGAGACTTGCAGAATTTGGAAAGTTTGCCAGCTTTGAAGCTCAGGGTGCCTTGGCCAACATAGCTGTCGACAAAGCTAACCTGGACATCATGATAAAGCGCTCCAACCACACCCCAGATGCCAACGGTGCTCACCCCTCCTCTGTGTCACTTCCCTCCCAGACGTGGGGGACTCGTGGGGCCGCAGGCTCAGGGATTTTAGAAACCTAGGCTTTCATCATTGCCCGAGTCTACACAGGGGGAGTAAGGGTTGGGGTGGATGTGGGTGGGTTGGCGGGTGGGTGTGGTGCACCTGGATGCTGACTCCGGATGTCGTTGGGTGGCGTGACTCCTCACGGCACAGCTTGTAGAGTCCTGGGGTAGAACTGTACCATGTGCCAGCACGGGGAGGGAGAGGGAGGGAATGAAGGCTGATTCACGTCGTGTCCTCCACAGTATCCCCGGAGGTGACTGTGCTCCCCAACAGTCCAGTGAGCCTGGGGGAGCCCAACATCCTCATCTGCTTCGTCGACAAGTTCTCCCCACCGGTGGTCAATGTCACCTGGCTTCGGAATGGACAGCCTGTCACCACGGGCGTGTCAGAAACAGTCTTTCTCCCCAGGGAGGACCACCTCTTCCGCAAGTTCTACTACCTGACCTTCCTGCCGACCACCGAAGACGTCTATGACTGTGTGGTGGATCACTGGGGATTGGATGAGCCTCTGCTCAAGCACTGGGGTAAGGGGCATCTGCCAGTTCTCTTTAAGGCACCCTGCTGTGATGTTGGATTCAGAGCCCTTAATGGTTCACAGTATAGGGATGGGAACACAGCTCAGTGATAGGGCATTTGCCTGGGGAGGGGGGGGCTCAGGTTCAATTCCCAGCACCATAAACTAAGAGTTCACAGTGTTTCATAATGTCGGTTGCAATTTGCACATCTTTCTTCTCTCATTAAGCAGGCTCCTCCACTTAAAAAAAAAAACGTTACGTGCGTGGGCGTTTTGCCTATGTGTCTGTACACCGTGTAAGTGTCCGGTGCCCACGCAGGTCAGAGAAGGGTGTCGGACCCTCTGCGAGAGGAGCTATGAACAGTTTTGAGCTGCAATATGGAAGCTGGGCATTGAACCCAGGTCCTCCGCAGGGGCAGCCAGTGCTCTTAAACGCGGAGCCACCCTCTCCGGCCCCAGAACTCACTTCTTTATTACATGGGTCACCAGTGCTACCCCCGCACCGCAGCAATTGACAGCTACTCTGCTTTATTTTTTCCCCCTCCAGAGTTTGAAGAGCACACCCCCCTCCCAGAAACTAAAGAGAACGTGGTGTGTGCTCTCGGGCTGTTTGTGGGTGTAGTGGGTATCATCGTTGGGGTTGTCTTCATCATCAAGGGTATGAAAAAACGCAATGCTGCAGAACGCCGCCGCCAAGGAGCCCTTTGAGATGCCTGGAGGTGAGTTAGCTGTGGTAACACGTGTGAGGGTATCTGAGGGAGGAAAGCAGGGGTGGGGGGAGTGGGCGTGGCGCCTTTAAGAGAAGGGCCAGGGAAAGCGGTGCCTCTTTATTCCTTTTATTGGAATGGATCAAGCCTTACCATTGGCTGGACCTTCAGGATCCGCGACCCCTTCCTTGGGTGTTCCTGGGCCCCATCTTGAGTCTTAGAAAATTTCTTTAGCTCATAAAACCTTTGACTCACATGAGAACGCTGCATCCTGGTGACTTGGGGAGGCTAGTTTCCGGGGCTCAGGCACTGACGAGCTCTCGCGTCCCGAGGCAGCAGCAGCCGCGGCTCCAGAGTCCGAAGCCTTTTGGAGTTAGGCTCTTGGATCCGTGGCAGGAACTGGAAATCTCTTGAGCCAACGACTGGTGTTGATCGTTTAGTCTGAAAGATGCCTCTAAGGGATCTAGGAAGGGGCGAGGCATGTTGACCTTTGTGCAAAATAGGGTTTGCAGTGATCAAGAGGGACACCAAAGGAAGCTGAGAGACTCTTGGTAACAATCTTGAACTCGCTGGTAACCATGTGTGTCCCCACCACAGGCGATGCCTTCAGTAGAAGCTGAATGAGGAAACTTGCTGTGACAACGGACCCTTTTCTCCGTTCTTCACCTCAGCGGAGACCGGTGTGTTCTGCAGTTTCAGCCTTAAGCCTCAGCAATGGCGACGGGCGCGACCGTCTGGCTGGGATTCTCTGTCTCCTTCCTGCATTTATTTTCTATTTCCCACCATTTATAGCCACCACCTAATTCCTGTGACAAATATTTCAGAGTTCTTCCTGTGCTGTGGAACGTTCTGAGCACACGGCTGTTTCTCCAAACTGTGTGTGCATGTTTTTTTTTGTTTTGTTTTGTTTTGTTTTTACAAATAATAAATATCTTGGATGGGTTGTGAAGTGTTTATGTGTGTGTGTGTGAGAGAGAGAGAGAGACAGAGAAAGAGAGCAAGTTCTTGGTGGAGAGGAGGGGTCCTGAGGAATATGTGTGTTCCCCCCAAGTCTGAATGTTGAGTACCTTTTACAAGCTCTGGGATTAATCAGAAATCCCAGGTTCACGAGGGCTTCAAGCATCTGAAGGTGCTATGCCGTGAAGCTGTGTCCTCACCTGGCAACAGAGCAGGGCTGCTGTACTGCAGACCCAGGATCAAGGTGGGGAGATCCGTGCGGAGCTGGGGGGGGGGGAACATAAGGGCGAGTGTGACTTCCCCTCCCCCACCCCATTTTATACTCAAAGACACTTTTAAGAGATTCAGCATGCAAATAAGGAAAACACTGACTGGATTCAGTGTATATCTACATATAAATATACAGATACAGTATACTTATGTATACATATACAGATACAATATACTTACATATAAACTCCCCAACTAAAGTTTTTTTAAAGCAGAGATTTAGAATCAGCACTTGGCTTTTGAGATGGTCTCTATCTGTATCTTCAGGAGAATAAGTCTCAAATCTGAGAACCTGGACTCGGATAATGAGTGAGAAAGATGGGGTGGGGTGGGGTGGGGGGTGGCGGTTGTGGGTAGAACTGAGGAGATCCACACCTGTTACCAACTGCAGCTAACGATCAGGGACCCCGCTGCAGGTCCTTTGCATTAGGCGAGGGCCAGGAGACATCGGGGTCAGGGTGGGATGCTGAGGCTTGAATCTCAATAGCTCCCTGCTTTGGAAGCTATTCTCTGGCTGACGGTGAAATTTTGGGAAGTGGGGTAGCCTTTACCGGGTGAGTCTGGCCCCCAGAAGGCAGCCACTAGTGTAGGGCTGCTGAAGTTTTTACTCCAGATATTTTGGAAGTAAAAAAAAATAAACGGACAAACGTGTGGTGATATTTTGTTTATAATCTCACAAATGAAGCTTGTCTGAAGAGCAGAGTGCAGAGCTAAGCCACTGGTTAGCCACAGAGGCCAGGCAGTGGGGGTGCACACCTTTAATCCCAGTACTTGGGAGACAGAGGCAGACGGATCTCTGTGAGTTCAAGGCCACCCTAGGCTACAAGACATTAAATCTGTCTAAAAGAGAGACGGAGCTCACACAAAGGTGATCCCAGCACTTGGGATGACACGCCTTTAATCCCAGCACTAGAGGGGGAGACAGGAAGATACACCTGGGCAGGGAGAGGAGTGTAGGGTGGGAAGAGACAGGAGCCCAGGGCAGTCTGGGGATTCTTAGGGACAGGGTTGCCCTTTGGTCTGAGCATTGCTAAAGGTAAGGACTAGAGTGCCTGAACACTCTGCTTCTCTGATCCTTCAGATTTCACCTCCTGAAAAAAAAAGACCAATTTGAATTTGTGCTACACACATGCATAGCATTAGTAATGTAGGATACAAAGTTATTGTAAATAAAATTCTGCCAGAATCAAATGATAATAAAGTCAAGACGATGATACTAAAAATGCCAACTGTTCAGACAGCACTAACAACACATTAGGAAGACTTTTGTTTGGGGGAAAATGGAGTCAGTTAAGCACATGGAGGGGTAGGTAGGGAGATAGTAAGACTGGACATGTTCAAGGCATTCTCTTGAGTTCTCTCTAAATCACTCCTCAAAAAGAAAATGCTCAGAAAACCAGAGTCAGTCTACACTTATTTATTTTACTTCCTGGTTGTGTCTATTTCTCATCTCTATTTAGCAATATGGTGATTCATTAAGCTGTATCAAACTCCACATGTAAGCAGTGAGGTTTTATTAGGTAAGGAAATTATTGAGGGAAAGGTCAAGGTGACAACAGTGTCAAATGCAACCAACAACACACTCAGAAAACCTATTTTATGCAAATCATACATAATAACGCTTAAAATATGCATAATAGAGACCTTGAATTTTCCCTAAGAGGATGTGACTCCTCGGAGATGGTGTGTAAATTCTCCAGCATCACACTGTCATATGCATTACTTCATATAACTATAACTAAATGAAAGCCATGTTGTGGTGATGTAATCTTTCCTCTCTGACTCTTATATCTGTCTTCAAACATGCACGCTCATTTGAGGAAGAACATGATAAGGGATCCTGTCACAGGATGGGTTCAGATGCACCAGATAAAGGACAGGGGTTTACAAGGGGGAAGGACAGGGGAGGGGAGGGACTTCTGTCCGGTGCTGCCAGGACCAGGCAGGGGCTGAGTCAGCCATCAGGGAGCACAGGTCTGCAGGGTCCAGAGCCAGGAGGAGCCAGGTCCTGGGGCAGCACTGTCAATGGAGGAACTGGAGCCATGGAGACAGGGGAAGCTCCTTCCTTCAGCCTTGTCACCTCAGTCAGTCAGGAGTCCTGCAGAGCACAGGGACAGAGGTGTTTCCAGACCTCACTCTGCAGTGGCTTCTCTCATGCCCTCAGGCCTCTCCTGACTCATGGCAGTGACCAGAGAGAACGTCTCACGCTCCAAGTCAAGGCTGCTGCAGAGCACAGGCCTTCGGTAAGTGCAGGGAACACGGCTCAGTGCAAACCGCCTGGCCAGGCCCTGGCAGGGCCCCCATCCCTCTCCTCTGCATTTCCCAGTCTGTTCTTCCAGGTCGGCTCATCTTCCTCCTGTCTACACGTCACTGTTCCTCAGGCTGCACTCAGCAGCCACAGAGTGTAGAGTCCAGAAGTTTTATAGAGTTTGAGGTAGCCCAGGTGACAGGCATCTTCACAGAGGTTCTCCTGATGCCTGATAACAAACCTTAGTGAAGCCACGCCCCTCCCTGCAAATGTTATAGAGACTGTTGGCCCCTACCAGACTCCTTACCTCTCGGGTTCCTGAAGTACATGAACTGTCCTATGGGCAGCAGCAGACCCAGCACGAATATAACCCCACTCCATATCTTGTTCTGTGTAGATGTGGAAGGAGGCCCTGAGGAGAGAAGCCAGGTGTGGGTTTTATCACATAGAAAACGCCCCTCATTGAGGTCCTGATATTCAGAGCACTGGGGAGCCAGACCTAACCACACCTGGAAAGGAATTTCAGAATCAGACAAAACAACGTAAGGGGAAGACTGCAGCAGCCATGAGGGGAATTGTAATGTCTGGTTTGCTTTATAAATCTACGCTGTCCCTCATGACGAAACTCATGACATAATTCCTGCTAGGGCAGTGGCAGCAGCTGGCAGCTGGGTGTGTTGTCTACTGCGCATGTTCGCCAATGACACGGGATCCACGAGTGGTCTCTACAACCAACAGTGAGGGAGCACAGCAGACCAAGACGTCAACCGTGCTACCTGCAGGCTTTTCCGAGGGCAGCAGACACAGACGCAGGTTCAGAGTGGAACAAGACCAAGAGGAACTGAGTAATTGTCACCCAAACCCAGAGTAGCCCTTTGCCTTTATCCTGCTACTGACTGCGTCTGGTCTCAAGGCAGAGTCATCAGCCCTTGGTCCTGCAGCAGCAGAGCCTTCCAGACTCTTGGGTCCCCTGCTGGACGCATCTGCACATCAAACACTGTCAGGAGTGGAGATGCCTTCTCTTGGACCTGTGGGATGAACTGGGGCGGCCCCCTGAGTTTATAAACAACTGGGCCCAATATCTGCAGCTCTGGAGTCCATAGCCTGTTGTGGAGGGCATACATCTTAACGCAGGAGTCCTCAGCACCATGGAGAGCTGCTTGGTGAAATTGGTCAAACATGACATTTTTTGGTGTTGTTTTGTGTTTCCCTGGCTGTCCTGGAACTCTGTAGAACAGGCTGGCTTTGAACTCAGAGATCCATCTGCTTCTGCCTCCCAAGCTCTGGGAGTAGGTTGACCAGTAATGTCTTCACCTGCAGCTCCACTTTACGATTTTATTTTATTTTTTGAGACACGGTTTCTCTGTGCAGCTGTCCTGGAATTTGCTCTGTAGACCAGGCTGGTCTCAAACTCACAGAGATGCAGTTGCCTCTGCCTCCTGAGTGCTGGGATCAAAGGTGTGAGCTAGCACCACCAGTTGTGGTGGTGAACAATGGCAGGATTTCCTGAGGGAGGTGAGGCAGGAGGATCTTGAATTCCAGGCCAGCCTGGACTCCACTTGACACTTAATAGGTGCTCTCTTGAAGAGGTTTGTCTAAATTCAGTTCCTTTCTGGGATTATGGCCTAAACCTTAGAGGTTCACTTTATCGGGATTCTGACCAGAGAACCTAGCTCATGGTGTGTGCTGTACTGGGGATATCTGTCTTCATAGACACATCTGGCAGAGGGTGCCCAGAACCTTCACCCAACCTATATAAATATTTTAATTCTCAATGATTTTCTGTTTGGCTCACTTCTTAATCAGCCAGTTTAAAGGGTGTAGAGATAGAACTAGGTGAGGGATAAAAGCCAGTAACCTGGAAATTCTATGCATCTTTCTCTGTGGAGTAAGCCAAGCCCTCTCCCTGATGGGTGGGGGTTCAGAGGGTCAGAGAAAACTGATAGGAGGGGTAAGCCACGCCCCTCCCTGGTGGGCGGGGACTCCCAGGGACAGGGGCTTCCCACTCACTCCACTCCACTGTGACAGGGCTGCTCAGGCTGGGATGCTCCACCTGGCAGGTGTAAACCTCTCCACTCTGAGGAACCGTCTCCAGCATCACCAGGATCTGGAAAGTCCAGTCTCCATTCCGGATCAGGCCCGTGGACACGACCCCAGCCTTCTCCTCCTGGCCATTCTGGAACCATCTGACTTCAATGTGGCCGGGGTAGAAGCCACTCACAGAGCAGACCAGGAGGTTGTGGTGCTCCAGAGGCTGCGTCTTTGTTGGGTACACGGTCACCCGGGGCTCAGCTAGAGGAGAAAGGGGGGTGAGAGTAAGTCATGAGGGCGGAGCTGTCCTCCCAGGGTGTCTGTCTGTCTGCCTCCGTCCACCTAGGCTGAAGTCCAGACAGACCTCCTAAACCTTCCTGTAACCTTAATCCTGATGTCAGGGCCCGTGGGATCTGAGGGACTCTAATGTTTTATTTTATAGCTTGAAACAATAAATATTCCCAGTTTGTCAACTGAAGGCAGTATAGCTGGTCCACGGGCACAGCACCTCAGTGCACACACCCCTATAATAGCTCAGGGATGATCCTACCCTGGGAAACAGGCGCAGAGAGAGGCGATTCTCAGGGGATTGAGGAAAAAAATCTAAAAAGTCTTCACATTTAGGGCTAGTGGGGTGGCTCTGGGGTGGCTCATTGGGTAAGGGTGATTGCTGACAAGACAGATGAGCTGAGTTCATCTCCCAGGACCCACAGGGTGGAAGAACTCCTCCAGGCTGTCTGGTGATCTCCACACATGTAACACAGCATTCCCTTCTCTCAGTCTCTGTCTTTCTCACCTCTCTGTCTATCTCCCCCTTCACAGACAGACAGACAGACACACACACACACTCACACACACACACACTCACACACACACACACACACACATACACACGCACACACTCCACAACACTTTTACCTATGCACCTCCAGACCAATGCTTACCTTTTAAGTTCAACAGGAACCAATCAACAAGTATGTAGTTATTTCTGCACCTGTCCACAGAGGCCCGGTAATTGTCCAGGACGCCTTTCTGGCTGTTCAAGTCCTCAGCTATGGGCTTCCCGAGCTCAGTCACTGCCAGGAACTTCCCAATGTCACTGTCAAAGTTTACAAACTCTTCCTGGTTATAGATGAATCTGGTCACACTCCTCACACGCTCCGTCCCATTGAGGTAATGACACTCAGCCTTCAGCTGCTCCAGAAAACGTGCTGTGGGGACAGCAACACACTCTATTACAGACTCTCTGGGAGGGGATTCAAGCAATGTCCCAAACTGGGAGGTCAGCGAAGGGAACTATGACACCTACAAGGAACTCACCTCCTGCTCCCTCTAATTCCCAACTGCACACACCACAAGTCCATCTAGATCAACTGAGGCAGAGGGAAACTTGAGTTTTGTCACTGTGGCTGTGATAAGGTATCCTGACAAAGACAGTGTAGGGGAGACAGTGAATGTTGCATGACAAATTCAGAGTACCCTCTATGGGTGCCTGCAAGTCAAGGTGAGAACTTACAACCTCATGTCCAGTCAGGAGCAGAGAAAGACTGAACACATGGGTCCTTCCATCTCTCATCTAGCTTCCTCTTCTCCAATGCTCTTCAGGGCCCCCAGCCTAGGGAATGGTGTCACCCACACATGGCTGAGTCTACCTACATCAGCTAACAATCCAGACAATGGAGGGTAAAAGGGTCAATCTAAGAAATCCACTTTGGCCGTAACACCAGAGCAAACTCTGTCTCTGACCCACTGAGACAGTAAATCAGCCAATCCCTGAGCAGGAAACCAACCAATCCATGAGCATCCCAACTCTGATCCCAGAGCCCATGAAAGAAACACTTCATCCCTGAACTAAGAACCAAAGGAGAACAACACCCTGATTCTGAAATTGGTGTCAAAGAAACAACACTTTGACCCTAGAATCAGAGCTAGTTAAAGAAAGGTGTCCTAGTCCCAAGAGTAGAGCCAGAAAGAAAAAAGAAACACTTCTGCCCCCAACCCCTGAGCAGAAAAACTCCTCCCTGGGATAACTCTGCCTCTATGAAGCCCCATGTAAACCCCTCTGCCTGTACAGTTGCTGTCTGTCCTTTCGCAGCCTGGCCTAGGCAGCCGCCCACCTGGACTCCTCATTCACAAGAAAATCTCTTTGTCCAAATTGTCTAGGGTGAAGATCTTTAGCCAGCAGCCTAGAATAGAAGAACTTGCTGGGAGGTTCCCTCAGAGAACTCAGCAAGACTGTAGCAGAAAAAGTAACAGCTTTTCAGTGGAATCCCAGGAGATTGAACATTTCTGCAGGGGCTCCGTCATCAGCCGACTGGAGCCAAAATAGGGCAGAAGAAGCACTTAGCTATGCAAGAATGTTCAGTTAGGGGAATGGAGCAGAGCTCAGCTGTAACCATTCTCTGTCTAGGAGAGAAGCAGGGCTGGGGAGACCATCCCCATCGCACCCCAGCTTCAGGGAGCCTGGCTTCCCAACACATCAGGACAACTTTTTCTCCAGGGCTGAGCTGTCCTGTTGTGGCTGCAGACTCCAGAGCTGCCCTAGGCAGCCTGCCTCCCAACAAGTCAGGACACCTTTACAGCTCCAGAGCTGTAACACACTGGCTTACAGTTTGGTGCTGAACCCAGGCATTCCCACCAACTTATACTCAGTCCCTCACACATCTGCCCACGGGCCATCCTGATAACGATAATTCCTCATTAAGATGCACTTCCCAGGTGATTTAATTCGAGTTGTGTCAAGTTGACAGTTAAAACTAACCAGCAAAGAAACCATGGAGGACAGGGCCCCCTTCTGATGCTGCCCTATTCACCACCTGCTGTCCCTTCTCATGGGCTCAGGTCTCCACCCTCACCTGAAACAGCATCCACCTAGAACTGTCTGTAAAACACCCCTGAGTACTGGCCTTGTGTCAGGCCTTGCTGCCCCTGGGAACCCTAAGAGGAAAAATTCAATCTGCCCTTTCCACTCTTGGAGCTTAAAATTGTGGGAATAAGGTCTGAAATTATCCAAGTGTGGGAAAATACAAACAGAGGCACTTCTGTTAACAGGGTAAAGAGGCAGATGCCAACGACAATGCATAGAAGGACTCTAAGGACTGGCTTCCCAGGTGTGTGAGCACTGTGGCATAAAAAAAAAGAATAAGGAGGGGAAAATAAGGAGGAAAATGTAATAAAAGTAACCTTGGATAAAAATAAATAAAATTCACAAATCAAGTGATATAAACTGGCTGAAAGGATAAAAAAGGCTCAACTATGTACTGGTTTCAAGAAACTCATCACATTCATGACCATATACAGAGGCTAGGATTGAAGGCTGGGGAAAGTATAAATGAGACAAAGTAACAACGCTCACACCACGTTAAGCAGACTTTACATTCTAAAGAATGAAAGAGACAAAGGAGGTCTTTGCACATTGATGCAATGATGAATTTAGCAAAACGACTTAATGGCTGTAAATAGACACACATGCATACACCTGACCTGAGAACACCCAATACATAAATCAAACATTAATAGATCTAAAGAAAGAAATGGACTCTAATGCAGTAATAAATAGGGTTGCAAATATCCCATTCTCCTCAGTGAACAGAGAATCATCAAGGAAACTGCTGACTTTAACTACAAGGCACAGACACAGGACACCTCCATGCAATCACAGCAGAGCGCACAGCAGTGCTAGCAGCGCCTGCACATTCTGAGCTGTGAAATAAGGCTCAGTAAATTTCGCAGCAAAATCCGTTCATGCATCATGCATCATCCCAAACCAGAATAAAGTAAAAATACAATTAAAAAACAATTAGGAAAGTGGAGACAATACAACCAGATATGGATTATACAACATGCCTCGACATGGCTGATTGAAGAAACTAAGAAGCAAATAAAGAACTTTCCAGAAAGAAGCAAAGATAGCCATACCACATATCATCTACAGGTGTCAGCAGAAGCAGGGATTTTTTTTAGAGTCATGCACCATTGTATGTTTATTGTACAAAGCGGTGGTTTTCACACAGACATTGCCAATCAAATGTAGCATGTACTGTGACATCTTCCTGGCCTCTTTCCCTCTTCTGTCTGCCCCGCCCCTTCCTGGTGATTTCCATTTTCCAGTAGGTCCTTCACCTCAGTCAGGCTTACTCTGCTGCTGTGATGGCTGCCACATCTGCACTGTTTCCTGAAAATGGTACCAGTTAAATTTGTCCATTTATCCTTTCTATGGCTAAAGGAAACTTTTTTAGTAACAAATAAATTAATTAAAAAGAAAATGATATATAATAAACAACAACAAAAGCCAGTGTATCTGAAGTAGTTAGAAAAGCAGAAGTGTTTTCAGTTAGTTCCCAATACAAGGGTTGTGAGACACTGCCTTAAAGGAGTCTGTGTCAAACACTGGGCAAAGCCCAGAACAGAGGGAGAAATCCCTAATCAAACACGGCCCACAGTAACTGAATCAAGAAGAAATATAAAATCGAAATAGGCCAATCATATGCAGAGTCTAGGTCTTGATTGTACTGTTGGAGTCTATGAAACACTGGAAGAATTGTTTCCCATTGTAGTTAGACTCTTCTAAAATCTGAAAAGGAACTGAAATACATAGTTATATGTGAGGGCAGAAGTCCCTGACACAGACAGACAATTATCCAGCCAAAACTAAAGGCAAGTCACTGCCTTTTGTACAAAGGTGACAATAAGTCTCCAGCAAATGGAATTCAAGAGCACATCAAACATTCCTAGGTAGTGTCCAAGGATGACTCATCGTCCAGATGCAGGGATCCTCTGCTGTATGTAAATAAATAGTGACACACCAACAGGATAGAGGTGTAAAACAGCAGGGCCATTTCAACAGATGCCAGGAAAGGTTTGATAAAGTTCATGCTGTATATGACGAACAAAACTGAAAAAGAAATAAGTGAAAACGATACTCATGATATATAAAAATTCAGTTGTTTTAAGAGTGGGTGGGGCTAAAGTCGATTCTTCCTGGAACCCGCAAGATACAGAACTTCCACACTCACTGGTGTTGCTCACTGAATTAATGAAAGCCTTTATGAAGTCTATTAAATATTAAAAGTCAGAAATATCCAAATAGAGAAACCTAAATAATCTACCAAAAAGCTGTTAAAACTGATACATTCAGTGAAGTTGCAGCCACAAAAGTCAGCAGCACTTTCTGTAGCAGTAATGAACCTGTTGAAAGAGACCTTTAAGGACCAATCCTGGGGCTGGAGAGGTGGCTCAGTGGTTAGGAGCACTGGCTGCTCTTACACATTGAGGACCTGGGTTCAATTCCCAGAACCCACATGGTGGCTCACAAATGTCTGTAACTCCAGTTCTTGTGGGATTCAGTGCCTTCTTCTGGCCTCTATGGGCACTGCATTCTTATGATACACAAACTGCAATGTTAAACTGCAGGTTAAGCCACCCATATACACAAAACTTTGTTTTGAGACAGGTTTTCTCTGTGTAGCTCTAGCTGTCCCGGAACTCACTCTATAGTCCAGGCTATTGTACCAGACTTTTCCTTTGGGGCCACCAACCAGTTCTCAAATCATGACACAGAGACTACTTATTAGTTATGAATGCTCTGCCTAGCTTAGGCGCATTTCTGGCTAGCTCTTTTAAACGTAAGTTTACCTGTTCTTCTTTGTCTTTGTCTTGGGGCTTATTACCTTTCTTAGTTCCATATAACTGTCGCTGCTTCTCTATGTCTGTCTGGCTTCTTGCCCTAGGCGTGTCCCTCGTTCTCTCCTCCTCTCCTTCCTCTTTTCTCTCTCAAGCTTAGATTTCCCCTCCTATTTATTCTCTGCCTGCCAGTCCCGCCTAACCTTTCTCTGCCCAGTTATTGGCCATTCAGTTCTTTATTAGAACAACCAGGCAGCCAAGGTGAAACAAATGTAACACATCTTTTCCTAATTAAACAAATGCAACATAAACAAAAGTTACACAGTTAAAGTAATCACAACAAAAACAAGTGTAACGCATCTTTCCAGAGTTAAAATAGTATTCTGCAGCATAAGCCAATGTAACACATCTTTGCCTAGTTCAACTAATATTCTACAACAGGCTGTCCTTGAGCCCACAGGGATCCACCTGCCTCTGCTTCTGTAGAGCTGGGATTATAGGTGTGTACTACCACTGCCCATAAGATAATCTTTTTAAACTTGAGCCTCAGAAACCCAAATAAGTCAATTAAAAACACAGGAAAGGGAATTCTAAAGACAGCTCTCTGAACAGGACATAACATTCAAATGGCCAACAAGTGTTTGAGAAATACTCCGTTTCACAAACCATGAAGAACGTGCAAGCCAGACCACAGTAAAATATTGTCACAGCAGGTAAGGGGGCTCAGCAAAAGTTAACAAGCGCTGGTGAAGGATTCCACGGTGTACACACACTGCCTGGAAGCGATGGGAAGCAACCCGAATGAGTCAGACTCAGAAAGACAAAGGCGACGATTTCCCACTCGCTCATGAACTGATAATCCAACCTGGATGAAGAACAAAGTGTGTGTGTGGGGAGGGGTCACTAGAGCGTGGGGACCGCAGAGGAAGGGGGGTGACAAAGTTGAAGGGGGACCAAACGGAAGTGAGAGAGTCGTTCTTGCTTTTCTGCAGTGGGGTTATCATTACGGAGTTAAAACAATCTACAGTGCACACCAACATGGCTAGAAGAGAAAGGAATTCCAATGTATACACGGCTGCATGCACACTATGTCAGCAGTCACCTGTACACATACTATGTGAAGAGTCACCAGCCACCATACACAATGATTTGTGGGGAGCTCAGAGATAGCTCAATGGTTAAGAGCAATTGCTGCTGTGACAGAAAGAAAACCCAGGTTTGGTTCCTGGAACCTGCTCAATCAGGTAGCTTACAACTGTCTGTAAATCCAGTTCCAGGGGATTTGATGTCCTTTTCTAAACTCTATGGGCAGCTTCACTCATGTGCACACACACACACACACACACACACACACACACAATGTAATGTGCATTCTTCCCGCCAGCCTGGTCTCAGAGTTGCATCAACCACAAATAACACACAGAGACTTTATTAGTTACAATGCTCTCAGCCAATGCCCAGGGTTTCTCATTGACTAGTTCTGTCTTAAGTATTAACCCATGTCTACTAACATATATATATATATATATATTTCTATAAGTACTTATCTTTCCAAGGACACCATCCTGATGAGTCCTCTCTTTCTGGGATCAAATGGAGACTCTCTACTCTTGACTAAATTTCCCAGAATCCTCCTCGTCTCCTAGTCCCACCTATCTTGCTTCTCTATTTGGCCAACAGTGCTTTCTTTATCAACCAATAAGACAAACATATGCACAGAAGGATTTCCCCCATCAACATTAAACACTAATAAAAGCAGATCTTCAATATTTGTGTCATGTCAACACAATATAGCTCAGGCAAATACAGTGATAACACATTTTAATAATTGCATCTTATCGTGTGTACGTGTGTGTGTGTGTGTGTGCATGTGCCTGTGTGTGTGAGTGTGTCTGTGTGTGTGAGTATGTCTGTGTGTGTGTGTGTATGTGTGTGTGTGCCATGACACATGTTTCGACATCAGGACTTCCGTTCTCTGCTTTCACCATGTGGAACCGGGGACCAAATTCAGGATGTCAGGATTGATGGCAAGTCCTTTTACTCATTAGCCTTGAGATAAGCTTCTGTTTTTATCTCAATTGTATTGTTTGCTTTTATTCATGCATAAGTGTGTGTGCTCGTGTGTGTGTGTGTGTGCTCGTGTGTGTATGTGTGTGTGTATGTGTGTGTGTGTGTGCTCCTGTGTGTGTGTGTGCTCCTGTGTGTGTGTGTGTGCTCCTGTGTGTGTATGTGTGTGTGTATGTGTGTGTGTGTGTGCTCCTGTGTGTGTGTGTGTGTGTGTCTGCTTGTCTGCATGTGGGCCACTTGCATGCAATGCTCACAGAAGTCAGGATAGGGAGTTTGGTCTCACGGATCTGGAGTTACAGACAGTTGTGAGCCAGACCATGTAGAAGCTTGCATAAAACATTCCTTCCAAAAAATATGTATTGCTGACACTGAGGAGTAAATTCCAGAGCAGACAAAGCCGATCTTACCATTCATAAATCCCCGAGGCCCTTCCTGATGGAGGGACAGTTAAAACATTGTGTGCATACAGGTTCTGTTCTGTGTCCTCCTGTGGTTTATCAAGCAACATAAGCCTCCTTTCATTCTGTCGGGGTGACAACCTTAAGAAGACACTTGCACAACTTGAGGGTGCAGGACACAACAATTAAGAGAATGGGGGCCCAGCCAAGCACTGGCTTGCTGTCTGAATGCAGATTTTCACACTGAAGTTCTGGTCCTGATTTTACATAGAAATCAGGACTGAAGAGGAAGGGACACATCTGATGCTTCCTCATTTTCTCCCAGCACAGGGTCCCCCGCCTTACCCGTCCACAGCACCAGGAGGTGCACATGTGACTTCACAATCAGTCCAGAGGTCACAGCTACTCACTGTAGAGGCCTCAATGTGCACTAAATCTGCAGGAGCACTGAGAGCAAGAGCTGTCGGCCATGGGGGTTTCCATCCAGATGTCACGTGGAGCATGACCCAGGTTTAGTTGTAAGGGTTGGGCTACCACAAAGAGACTTCACCCAGAAGCCTCCTGGGGACCACAGGACTAAGGCCACCACAGAGTCCCCATAAGGCAAAACCAAGGATATCCATGGGAGAGGTTCATCACTGGACTACACAGGGGAGCAGCTGGGTTGAGTGGAGCCAGATAAGCCATAGGGGGAGGCTCCCTGATACCTGGAGGAACCACTCCCTGGTATTCTGCAAGAAAGAAAGACATGAATTTGGAGTCCTGATGGTCTGGCAAGCAATGTCCTCTAAAGTTAGTGTGTTGGAAATCCCATGCCCCTCACAACTGAGAAAACAAATAAAATATTAGCTAGTGACTGTTTCATGGGGACTTATCTTAATGAAAGGGGTGATGACTTCACACATACATACATATGAACAGATTTACATCTTAGGTGTTGCATCCTGGCACTGGGAAAGCCCAGAGGTAAATACCAACAACTCGACATGGATCATGGAGAGACAGTGAGATGAAGGAAGCCAGAAAGTCTGGGGAAACCCTGGCAGACCAGTGGCCTTTATTTGCTGATTGGCTTCTAACCAGAGAAATGTGAGCAGCCTTCAAGCTGGCTGCACCTCTGCTTGGGGCACAAAGCTTGAACACTGTGAAACTGTTGATTCTGACCACTGCTGATATACAAAAATATAATTTCATATCTAAAACCAGTTGAACCCTCTCCCTTACACTCAGGCAGAAAGGCGGCAGGCGCTGGAGAAACTGTGGGCTAGTTCCAAGTAACGCGGACACCATCCTGTGACAGGTTGTCAGGGGAACCGTTAAGTCTTCAAGGCACTGAAGAGCACACCATGCATGCACCTTGTCTAGGTGACTGACACAAGGGTTAAGTTCCAGGATGGGCACCAGGGTCCCTCTGACAAGAGAGAGAGAGAGAGAGAGAGAGAGAGACAGAGACAGAGACAGAGACAGAGACAGAGAGACAGAGAGAGAGAAACAGAGAGACAGAGAGAGCGCCAGGGTCCCTTTGACAGAAGAGGGAGAACACTGACTACTTCCCAGGACAGCACCTCCACCACATGGTGCAGGACTCATAAACTCTGGGGTTCAGGAAGAAGAGAAGATGCCATGATCCCCCCTGGCATATTAGCCAGATGTATGAATGCCACAGACCCCAGTGAGGGCACAGAGCCCCCCAATTCCTCTTGATTACTCATTTCCTTCTTTCCTTTTTAAAAAACATCATCTTCATATTTTTGGAGAGGTTCTTGACATCTCACTATTGTAACACCCTGATTTCCTCATCTTTTCCAGCCCCTAGGAAATGTGATGTCAGGCTGGAGGGGTCTCATGAGGAAGAAGGAGGACAGAACTCATGTGGGATTCCATTCACAGGTCTTAAAGGAGCATCCAAGAACCTTTAAACGGAAACAACTTGAGATTCCTACTATTGAAAGCAGTCTTCAAAGAAAAAAATGACAATTTTAAAAGACCTAGTGTTGACCAAATGAAGCTAGTTCTCTGCCTTCCCCGCCCACAGCAGCTACCCTGAGGCGTGCACTTACGTCGGGGGTCCCTGACCAAAGCCACAGGAGAGCTCAGGGCCATCAGCATCAGGACCGCAGCTGCCACACAGGGGCCTCTGGGGAGACACAGACCCATCATTGTGGAGGAGAGGATGGTGGCCAGAGAAGCAGGCCAGCCTGGCTGTCTGGGGACTGTGAGTGGCTCCGCCCACTGGTGCCTGGCTGGGCACCTCAGTGCAGGAGAACCAATCAGCAGCAGAAGGGGGCAGCATCATCAGTTGGGGGGCAGAGGTTCAGTATGAAGGTCTTTCTGAAGTTTCCAGGTTCCTTTGTTAAGCAGAGGGCTTCAGCTGAGGGCTGTAAAGTTTAGATCAGTTTGCATCTGCAGCTCCTGAATGGACATCGTGCTGAGCCCCCTCTTCTGACTCAGGTCAGCCTTGACACTGTCAGTCTGCATAGGAGGATTCAACCTGTGGGAGTCCCTACTGTGGTTCCCATAGCGACTTCCCCATTCGCTGAGGGAAATCCCTCCCTCCTTCTTCCCCTCCTGCTCTATTCCCAAAAAGCACAGAAGTCTTGCTAGTGGATGCATATAAAGTGTTTGTTTAGGAAGACACCCACTAATCATAAAGTATGATTACAATAAATAAACACAATCATACTGTTTGTGAAATGTGAACCTCGTATTTGTGGTGATATATTATGCATGATTTACTAAATCTTCAAGCTGAAGACCAGAAAAGCAATGCATCTCCACCCAACCTCAGACTGCAATCCCAGACTGCTATGCTCTCCTCAACGTGGCTGGAGAATGAATGCCAGCTCTGACACCTGCTTCTACTGTAAATAACTCTCATGAGTTCTGGGATTAAAACCGTGTGATCCCAGGTGCTGAGGTCATGTTTATGTGAGCTGTTTCTCTTTAGAATTGGGTCCATTTCATGCAGTTCAGTGTGGCCCTGAATTAACAGAGATGCATGTACCTCTTAATCCTGAGTCCTAGGATTAAAGGTGTGTGCCTGGCTTCTATGACTTGTTGCTGACTTTGCTTTCTGAATCCTCAGGCAAGCTTTAATAAGTCATGAATAATATATCACTGTACATACTGCAAAATAATTACACATGATATTACTATAAACACAATGACTTAGATTAAGAATGTACTTTGAGTGACAGTGCAGTATAGGAACCCCGATATTAATTCACTGTGTTCTGATGGTCACTCTTTATCTTGACATTTCTCAGGGCAGAATTTGCTGCCCCACAATGAAAATCACTGGAACTAATTGACCAAGTTTTGGGGCAGCTGACTTTGTACTCAGAGCTGTAACAAAGACTTTCTTTTAAACTTGAAATAAAAGAATTTTCTGCATAGAATATATGTTGATCATCCTTCCCCTTCCCTCAATTCCTTACAGCTCCTTCCCACCCCCATCCTCACCCAGCTTTATGTTTTCTCTATCCCCCCTCTCAAAATGAGCAAAACAAAACAAAAATCAAGAAACAAATATATCCACCCAACACGAGTAAAATGAAAATCAAAACAAATAAGGAAAAGCAGATAAGACAAAAATGCCCAAGCAAACAAATGAGAAAAATAAAGTCTGCAAAATACCATTGAGTTCATTTTCTGTTGGCTGCTCCTGGGCAAGAGTCTGCCCTGATATGTGTGTGATTCAAGTGCCCTGTGACAATACCATTACAGTTAACTCCTTAGTTAAGTGCAGGACCCTCTGTCTACTTTCTCATCTCAGACTGGGATCCTTCTGGAGTGAACCGGTGCAGGTTTTATCCATGATACCACAGTCTCTGTGAGTTCACATGGGTTTTGTGGACTATTATTTTCACTGGACAAAGATGCATTACATTTGTGTCTGTTGCCTTTGTTAACAATGTAAAAATGTGTTACATTTGTTTCTGCTCATTTGTTTCATTATATAGAGGATGGGCTGCTGTTGCACTATGCCTTCCTAAGGCACCTGATTGGTCTAACAAAAAGTGGAATAGCCAATAGCTGGGCAGTAGAGAGATGGGTGGGGCCAGCAGGCAAACAGAATAAATAGGAGGAAGAATCTAGGCTCGAGAGAGAATGAGGGAGAAGAGAAGGAGATGCCCGGGTCCAGCCCCTGTGATGTGTGCTGATTGAGGGAAGCTAAGGGGAGCTTTCCTGAGAATTACATAATCACAATGGCAGAAAATCATTGTCAGGAAAAAGAATTCTGTCAAAACTCATTCGCATCATTCTGATAATTTATAAATGACATACAATTGTATTTAGGATTTAGATTTTTATTTTATGTTGAGTGTTCAGTCTGCAGTGCCCACATAAGCCAGAAGGGGGCACAGCTGCCCTGGAATCGGAATTGCAGACACTTGTGAGCCATCATGTGGGTGCTGAGAATTGAACCAGGATACCCCTGGAAGAGCAGTCAGTGCTCTTAACCTCTGAGCCAGCCCTCCAACCCTCACCCTTCTTTTTTAAGACGCATACATGAACTGAAATCTGTACATTGCTTCTATAACTTGTGAGTGCCAAAAGCAGGCAGTTTTAAATGAACATTTCTTGATTTCCTTCAGTATTGATTTAAGATAATGATCATTCAGGTAAAACAGTGGGACAGATGTCCCCAAACTGTGGTCATCTGGTCTGAATTTCCCCACTGAAGGCAAAGCAGAGACAGTCTCTCCACCGCTGCTGAGTGTGAGGAGGCAGAACGGAGCTGGTTTCCTGAGGGAGGGCAGCTGTGTTGGTTTCTGGAAACCTGGATCACTCTGCACAGACCTTTGCTGTAGACCCTGAACTTGACACATGAATCCACAGGACTGTTTTCACATGAACTAAGACACAGTGTTCATGTTGCTCTCCATAGTGGGTTCAAAGCAAGAAGCTCTCTCTGGCTGCCGTGGAGTTAGAAACTACAGATCAGATACTGCGGCTGTGTGACTGTGGGAAGCTCAGGACATGGAGACCAGAGGAGCCCTGGGACGGGATGCTGGACTAGAGGGCAGGAGAGACTGTGTCTGGCTGGGTGTGTGGCTGAGGAGGCCAGGCCAGGGTCAGCATAACAGACAGGGAGGAGGGAGACACTCGGTGACAACAGTCAGGAATGAGGATGAGGAGGTTTCTGGGTGTGGCTGCCCTGGGCTGTTGGGTTAGACTGGGGAAGATCTCAGTGTTGTCAGCTTGTGATCTCTGTGCCTCCTAGACAAGGTCCTGACTGTCTCTCTTGCTACTTTGGGAAGCAGAGATTGTGTGTCCCTTCCCTGGGACTCACAGCAAATATGGCCGCACTGCATTGGTTGGAAATTCCCTTTCGGCTCAGTGTGTGCTCAGGACAACAGAGGTGCTGTGGAGAGTTTCCTGCAGGCACACAGGGCTGGAAACTGCCTTCCATTAAAGATGAGCTTATGGGTTCCTGCCTCTCACAGATTCCCTTCCTGTGTGCCTAAATAACTGTGTTTGATCTGATTATATGTTGTCTTTTAAAGATCAATCCAATTTAAAAACAATCAAATTAACAATTAATATATAATCCTCAATTTATTTCTTATATGTTCCCTACCATGCTTGCTATCAAGGTGTCTTACAGTGGAGTGTTCCTTTCTCTTTGCTATTTCGGCTCCTTGTAACTCAATGAAACAGGTTATTTTAATTCTTTGTTTATTTGACAAAAATGTAAGAAAGCATTATAACGGCTGCCTGGCTCAGAAGCTCAGACAAAGTACAGGGGACAAAAAGGAGAGGGACAGGGGAGGGGAGGGGAGTTCTGTCTGGTGCTGCCAGGACCAGGCAGGGCTGAGTCAGCCATCAGGGAGCACAGGTCTGCAGGGTCCAGAGCCAGGAGGAGCCAGGTCCTGGGGCAGCATTGTCAATGGAGCAACTGAAGCCATGGAGACAGGGGAAGCTCCTTCCTTCAGTCTTGTCACCTCAGTCAGCTCAGGAGTCCTGCAGAGCACAGGGACAGAGGTGTTTCCAGACCACACTTTGCAGTGGCTTCTCTCACACCCTCAGGCCTCTCCTGACTCATGGAAGTGAGCACAGAGAACTTCTCACGCCCCAAGTCAAGGCTGCTGCAGAGCACAGGCCTTCAGTAAGGGCAGGGAACATGGCTCAGTGCAAACCTCCCAGCCAGGCCCTGGGGTCTATGCCTTCCCTGGTGTTTGTGTCTGGTGCCCATCAACCCAGCCCCACATTGTAGGGAAAGCAGATCTCTACCTGTCGGCTGAAGCCCAGACTGTCCTAGAAGAGAGAATAAAATAGATACTTAAGTGCATGGAGGGAAATCTGTCCCCAGACACATGTCCCCAGACTCTGAGCTGACACCTGGGATTCCTCTGGCACCACAGCCCACAGCAGTCGGGACAGAGCAGACTGAGGACAGAGAGACAGCTCAGGAAGCCTCAGGCACACACGGCCCAGTGCCTCTTCCTTCTCTCTTCCTCTGTTCCCAGGTCTCAAGTCAGAATCGCCTTAGCTTTCCCTGTCCCTATAAGTTATCACTCCTTGGGGTTCAATCCAGTAACTCCAGGCTGTTGGGTACAGAGTTGATTAAAACCTGAGGTCACACCTGGTGACATCCCAAGAACAAAGCATGGCTCTTCCCAGAAATGCTATGGGGTCTTGGCCACCATCAGGCTCCTTACCTTTCTGGCTCCTGAAGTAGATGAACAGCCCCAGCCCGAGGAAGAGCAGACCCAGCACGAAACCTCCGATTCCACTCAGCATCTTGTTCTGTGCAGATGTGGACTGAGCCCCTGAGAAATGAAGCCAGGGCTAGAGGTTTTCCCACAAATTTTCTTTTCCCCTTGGGACCTTGAGACTCAGAGCTTAGAGCCTGGGGAAGAAGCCTCTTCTAGAAGAGCAGGAATTGAACACCCTGCTGATGTTGGAAAGAAAACAAACAGCAAGAGGGTCACAGCATGAAGAGACTTTACATGGCCGCCCTGAGCTGAGCTGACAGGAAGCCTCTGAGCTCTGAGGCTGCACCGTCCTGAGGGTGACAGAGCTAAGCACAGGCAGAGCTGAGACTGGACGCCCCTGAGGTCAGCCATGACCCCATGCTGCTCCTTGTCCATCATCTCCATGAGCAGCAGCAGAAACACAGCCCAGCCAGAGGCAGAGGCTGCAGCCAGGGACAAGCAGGTCCCTGGGCTGTGGTGTCACTGGAAGGCTCAGAAGTGTTTGGTGGCAAAACTGCTTCCCAGGGGACCAAGGTGTTGTAGATCACACACCTACCCCTGTGAGCCATGCTGAAGGAGGGGTCAGCACAGACCAGTGCAAACAGTTGGTGGGCAGAGAGAGCTGATAGGCGGGGTAAGCCACGCCCCTCCTTGGTGGGCGGGGACTCCCAGGGACAGGGGCTTTCCCACTCACTCCACTCCACTGTGACAGGGCTGCTCAGGCTGGGATGCTCCACCTGGCAGGTGTAAACCTCTCCACTCTGAGGAACCGTCTCCAGCATCACCAGGATCTGGAAGGTCCAGTCTCCATTCCGGATCAGGCCCGTGGACACGACCCCAGCCTTCTCCTCCTGGCCATTCCGGAACCATCTGATTTCAATGTGGCCGGGGTAGAAGCCACTCACAGAGCAGACCAGGAGGTTGTGGTGCTCCAGAGGCTGCGTCTTTGTCGGGTACACGGTCACCTGGGGCTCAACTAGAGGAGAAAGGGGGTGAGAGTGAGTCATGAGGGTGGAGCTGTCCTCCCGGGTGGCTGTCTGTCTGCCTCCGTCCATCCAGGCTGAAGTCCAGGGGGGAACTGAGATTCTAACACAGCTGTCCCAGGACTCTGGTTCTGTTTTCACACCGCAGCTGTCAGCTGCACACCCTGGAGGAATCACCGGCTGGAGGTGAACGTCCTGGCGGTGAGAGAAAGGCTCACCCCAGCTGTGGAATTTTCCCCAACAGCTGAATTACACACGGGTGTCCCTGATTCCATCTCTTCTTGTCTGTAGATGGTGGCAGTTCTGTGTGTGAGGGTCAGAGAGACTTAGCGCGAACTCCTGTCTCAGCTGTTTTTGCCAAACTCTACATAAATCAACTTTGCCACATCTTGCATCAACGTTCTCTTAGTGTCTGTTACACAGGGATTCACAGGCACCTCAGCAGGGGCCTGTCAGTGTGAGCTGTGGGAATTGTGGGCTGTGCTGGTGTCTGCACCCTGACCCGTGCAGAGCGGGGGACGAGCTGCCGACGGTGGTACAGGAGGAGAATCCTGTTAGCACTAAAGAAGCAGGGCCGTTTTTCTGATTATTTTTGTCCTGACAACACTGTGTAGCAGACATTCATACGGCTTATCATTGTCCATCTCCCTCCCTCCCTTACAATTAGTGTACGGAGGGGACCTTAGGCTCACACCATCACAGTGACACAGAGAAAGATCATGGGACATGCAAACACAGTCAGCTTCATCTAGATTGCAATGTTAGCGTATTAAATTAGGAAATGGTGAATTACAGGACAAGTGTACCTCATCCAGAAACGTAAACGTATGTGAATGAGGACACGGACAGCAGTGGGGGATTTAGACCCAGAGGAGACTGGGAAAAACCAGAGGCACCTTGTGATCTTCAGTATATGACACCGGTGCCACCTCGGAGGGGACAAGGGACAGTTCATTCTAGAGCCAAGTGTGTGTGACCGTGGCCCAGGAACACAGAGTCAGACGACTCCAAATTCCATGTTACCATATGGAGAGTGCCCCGTGATGTGTCCATGGTAACAGAACACGGGGCTTGATGAGTAAACAGTTTTCAAGGGCATTGTGGATGTATGAGGTGGGCGCTGTGACCATGGAACTCAGGTGCTCTCTGATGACAGTCTTGGCTTTTGTGTGGGGAAACTCTCTGAAAATTCTACACATCCCAAAAGGTTTCTCTCAGTGGTCCACAGTGTCAAGTCAGAGACAGAGGGCAAAGAGTGGCTATTAAGTGGACTAATGGTACGCCAAGCTTAAGTATAACTAGGTGATGGATCTGCAACATTCCAACCTCCCCACATCACGGAAGGCCTAGCGAGTCCCCAGCCCTGCAGCAGGTCCCGTTCTTTCTGGTATCTTCTGTTCACAGGTCACCCTCCTCCCCCTCCTCGGACTCTCCCCACAGAGCTTCCTCTCTCCCCACAGAGCTTCCTCTGATACTTTAGTCTCAGGGAGCTACTTTGTTTCTGCTGAGGCAGGAGGGAAAATCCAGGAAGCACTGGGGATGTGGACAGAGTTGGTCGAAGCCTCTGGCTAACAAAGAAGCAATGTTTCCCACCCAATCTTCAACTGCTTGTGACCTGCAGGTTTCTAGGATTCTCACCGAGATCCACTTCAGGAAAGAGACTCTCAGTCCTTCAGGCTACACTATCGCTCCTGAGTTCACCCCCACCCAAGGCGCCCGCAGATCCATAAAAAGAGAGGGAAAGAAAAATAAATTCCTCATTAGTATTTTGTGATCTCACCTGGGAGACAGACGCTGTGTATGGCTGATGCCGTGACAGCCCCCTGCCTGCTGTGCCTGTGGGAGCTGCAGCCGCACTGGGGCGGGCAGGTCTCCCTCTTGGTGTGAGCCTCTGGGAAGCCCACACTGGCGAGTGCCCTCACCTCCCTCTGTCCACTCCTAACCCTAGTGAAGCTTTGATGAAATTGTCTTAACGCAGTTTCCACCCCATCCCGTCCTGGGCAGAGCTGAGGTTTTTCTCAGGGCTGGAGAGGGGAGCGGTGAACTGAGCTGCAGCCATGTTTGAAGACTCGAGTTCTGTGCCCACAACACTTAGAACCACCCTGGACTGCATGCACCCTCCCCTGATCCCTCACCACACACACACACACACACACACACACACACACACACACACACACACACACACATACACACACACACACGCACACACACATACACACACACACACACACACACACACACACACACACGCACGCACACACCCTGGTAGCCCACCCGCACCCCTCACTCCTCACCTCTCCGCTGCACAATGAAGCTGTCTAAAACCCCGTAGTTGTGTCTGCAGTATGTGTCCACCGAGGCCCGCTTCTGCTCCAGGTACTCCTTCTGGCTGTTCCAGGACTCGGCTTCAGGCCGCCCCTGCTCGGTCACCGCGCGGTACTCGCCCACATCGCTATCGAAACGCAGGATCTCCTCCCGGTTGTAGAAGTGTCTCTCCAGAAACCGCACGCGCTGCGTCCCGTTGTAGAAATGACACTGGTATTTAGGTTGAAACAGGAACCGAGCTGTGGAGACAGGAATTATCCTCTTCAGCTGCCCCGAATGACCAGACCCAAGCTCGCTCAGCCACCTCTGACGTCAGAGCCCAGGACAAGTCCAGACCTGGGCCTCAGGACAGTCAGTCCACAGGGGTGTAAACAGGGAGAGATGGAGGGACTAGGTTCTCTCTTCCTTCACTCTCTGGCTCTCCCCCTCCTTCCCTCCCACACTCTCTCCCCTTCCCTTTCTCTGTTTTTTGCTTGTTTTTGTTTGGAGGATTTTGGTTTTGTTTCAAGACAGGTTTCTCTCTTGGCTGGACTCGAACTCAGAGCTCCCCCTGCTTCTCCCTCAGGCCTCTTCCACCACCTGGCCCCACCCTTTTCCTTCCTTCCCTGCCCTCCTAGCCTCCCAGGCCCACACACAGCCCTCCTCCTTTTTTCTCCTGAAAAGGGCAGCCTCCCATGGTAACCAAGCATGGCATATTGAGTTTACCTCATCTAGGTTTAATATGAGAGGAGGGACCCGCACTTTTCTTTAACCCTCGACTACGACCTCCAGATCCTGGGAGGAGGATACAGAGGTTGATTGGACATTTAGTCGCCCACTATAGCATTATTATTATTATTATTATTATTATCATTATTATTAAAAAGTAGACATCTTCATAAAGTATATTCTGATCACAGTTTCCCTCCCTCAACTCCCCACAGATCTACTCCAACTCTCCACCCACCGAAATCCTCTTCTTTCTTTCCTTCTCCCCCTAGAGACAGACAACTAAGAGAACAGGGGGAAAATTAGGATAGAAACACACACACACACACACACACACACACATTAGGATAGAAATACACACAAGAGCCAAAGAAAATCCATAAGAAACATAGGGATAAAAAACACAAAATCTGGCCGGGCGTTGGTGGCGCACGCCTTTAATCCCAGCACTCAGGAGGTAGAGGCAGGCGGATCTCTGTAAGTTCGAGGCTGGGTTGGACCGACAGCCTCCAAAACAATACAGAGAAACCCTGCCTCGTAAAACCAAAAAACAAACCAACAAACAAACAAACAAACAAAAAACCCACAAAATCTGAAACCATAGCATATGAGCAAAAGATCTGTAAGGCATAAAGCAAACAGACAAAACAAATCTAAGATACCATTGAGTTCACTTTGTGGGATCATCTACTGCTGGGCACGCAGCCTGCCCTTAAGTGTGGTTTATAATCATTGGGACTCCTCTAGTTTTTTAGATTAATATAATTAAATTGTTTCTCCTTTCTCCTGCATATCCCCCTTGTCTGTCTTTTGTCACTAACAGTTATGTGCATATGTGTTCATGTGTGCACATTCCTAAACACACAAACACACCCTTCTCAGTCCGTGTGATGTTACTGTATGTGTGATTTTAGGACTGACCAATTGGTTTGCTCCTCCCTGGGAAGACTGTTTCTCCTACCCTCAGGATTCCTCAGTTGCCCATGGTTCCTTGTGTGGGGTTAGAGCCCAGTGGGCTTCTCCTGTCACACACTCTGTCAAGGCAAGCGTCCCTGCTCAGTTATGGCTGGTGTCACTTCTGGCACCACAGCTCCAGGAGGGACAGGGGTTGGCGTCTGATTCAGGTCACCTCCCCCAAATCAGCTCTGAACAGATGTATCTCCTTAATTACAGAGGCACAGGGAGCATCGGGTGTGTTCTTTGTGATTACACCTGCTCCCTGTGACCACACCTGCCCCTGTGACCCCACACCTGCCCCCTGTGACCACACCTGCCCCTGTGACCCCACACCTGCCCCTGTGACCACACACCTGCCCCTGTGACCCCACACCTGCCCCCTGTGGCACCACACCTGCCCCCTGTGACCACACACCTGCACTTTGTGACCCCACACCTGCCCCTGTGACCACACACCTGCTCCTCTCTGATCACACCTGCCCCCTGTGACCACACCTGCCCCCTGTGACCACACACCTGCCCCTCTCTGATCACACCTGCCCCACCTGGAGCTGGAAGCCAGCACTCACCTCACCAGCTCACAAGACTCCACCCTTCCACCCCTCATGCTCAAGCTCCTCCTAGACTCACCAGGTAGAACACGGAAATCTCCCTCAGCGCTGACCTGTGCGAGCCTGTGCTGCCCAGGAAATCCAAAGAGGGGAAACATCTGAACCCCACCCCGACTCTGGAGCTTAGAATTTCCAGTGAGGAACAAGCAGGAGAGAGGGGTGGAGTTCCAATGACAGGAAGACTTGAGTGACAGGAGGGGACAGAAGCCCTGTGGGGAGTGACCATGCAGATGTGTCACAGACATGAGCCAGAAGCAGAGGGTGACTGCCAGTGTCAGGGGAGGGCACATCTCTGCTGAGGTGACACCTCGTGCAAGCACTGAGATCATGAGCAACAGTGCACGGGCGTGAGGGCCGCAGCTGAGAGATGAGGCTGGGGGATCAGAGGAGCCTCACTCACAAGCCCTGGGGTCGATGAAGGCCTCTGGAAACTACTGGAGAAGTTTCTGGAAACAAAGCCATGATTCCAACACTGACCCACAGTCTCTTATCTGAATTACAGATCCAGAAATTCACAAACCAGGTCTTTTTGAAGTCAGATGTCGTGTGAGATTCTGGGTCTCCACAGATAGAGACAGGGAAAGACATCAGATGTGCAGTCTTTCATTTTCACACTTAATCTAACTCAGAGAATGTAAAGATGTCTGTAACAGTCACTCAAACACAGAGCACCAGCACCAGACATTATCTCCCCAAATGCACAGAGAGATGAAGAGCTTCTATGCCTTTTGAGGGGAAATATCTGTGGCAGTCATCAGTAACCATGACTTAGAGAGAGAGAGAGAGGAGAGAGAGAGAGAGAGAGAGAGAGAGAGAGAGAGAGAGAGAGACAGAGACAGAGACAGAGACAGAGACAGAGACACTGCAGCGGGTCTCGGAGGTGGAATTACTGACCTCTGTGTTTTGAGATGTAAATGACAACAGTGAGGAGAATGACTTTGATTTATATAAAAAGAGAAAATGCAGGGAAACAGCAGCTTCAGAAGCTGTAAGAATAGTTTGTGTGAGGGGCTGGAGAGATGACTCAGCAGATAGGAGCTCTGACTGCTCTTCCAGACCGACCTGAGGTCAAGTTACAGCAACCACAACCATCTGTAGTGGGAACTGATGCCCTCTTCTGGCACAAAGGTGGACATGCAGATAGAGTGCTCATATATTAAATAAATCATTTAAATTAATTAATTAATAAAAAAGAGTAGTCTGTGTGAAGGACAATGATGCAAGGGCAGGAGCCTGGTCTGTGGAGTATGACGATGAGGTGAGAGGCATTCTGGAACCTTCTGTGTCCTTTCTTGGGTGAGATGATAACAGAGGAGGAAACACACAGTGTGGCAGCAGGACCCTCATGCTCTGCACGGCCATCCCTGCCAATCCCTAAACAGCTCTATGAAAAACATCCTCTCTTCCCCATACTACATCAGTTAAAGCACAGAGGGGTCGGACAGCTCCTCCACAGTCCCAGCACTTGGGGTGACTGTTTTAGCAGTGTTAACAACCCTGTTATATCCCAAAATGCAGACTCCAGACTTTGATGTTCCCGTGTGTTTGGTGTAGATATGGGCTGGGAAACTAGAAACAGATCATAGGATGCAGAGAGAAGTCCGGTCCTTCCCATGTAGGAAAACAGGAAATAGAAACAGATCAAATTACAAACATCAGAGGCTCTAACCCTCCCCGGGTTCTCAGAAGAGTAAAAACAGCTCACAGGGCCCATCCTAAGGCTGCCTTGGCTGCAGGGAGAAAGGGAACTGGCCACCACCCAGCAGAGCCCCCATGCGGGCACAGGCTGCATAGACACTGGAGTCAGGGAGACAGAAAGACAGAGCCCTGGGTACCCAGGCAGCAGCCTCACAGCCTACAGAGATCATCCCTGGGATGCCCTCCCATGCCCGTGACTCTGTGATACTCCCAGAGAAACCTTCTTAATTACTTAAATATTGGCCTTTTTTGGTTTCGTAAAGTAACAGAAACATATGCACAAAATAGGATACACACATGAAATTCTATTTTTAAAGAGAAACCTCTTTGTCCGACAAAGCTCAACACAAAGAAGACAAGCCCTGTGCAAGCGGCTAATTTCACATCAGGATTTATGAATCCTCCCCTGAAGGAATGTGACAAATGGCTGGAGATGTTTCTGGAAGAAACTGAAAGGCAGTGACTGATATTTGGGTGGGGGGGGTCTCTCACACAGATCTGAAAGAAACATCCAGGTTCCTATTGGGGGAAATAGTTTGGATGTAATGAGAGGATGTGGGTGGTCACAGAAAATATAAGAGGATTCAAAGGGGCTTGACCTGGACAGTGAGGAAGTCAGCCCCTTCCTTCCCCCACCCCGACCCCCAGCAGCCCGGCCCCTGAGGTGTGTACTTACGTCGGGGGTCCCTGACCAAAGCCACCGGAGGGATCAGCACCATCAGGGCCAGGACCACAGCTGCCACACAGGAGCCTCTGGGGAGCCACAGTGGCATCATGGTGGAGGAGAGGAGAGACCCGAATAGGAGGAGCAGACAAACTCACACAGGAGAAACTGTCTCCTGGCTTTACTCATTGACAGGATAGTAAGAACCAGGGAAGTCACTGCTCTGCTGCTGATGGGGTAAAGTCAGTATGAGGAGCCAATCAGCAGCAGAGTAGAGCTGCATCATCAGTTGCTGGTTAGGGATTCAGTATGAAGGTCCCTTCTGAAACCTACAATTGCAATCCCCTTCATTAAAAGGACACTCAGTCTGGCCTGGTGGCCCAAGTCTCCAATCCCAGCACTTGGAAGGCAGAGGCAGCTGGGTTTCTGAGAGTTCGAGGCCAGCCTGGTCTAGCTTGTAAAAACATATCTCAAACCAACAAACAAACGAAGAACCAAACAAAAGGATAGTTATTTTGTGGGAGGGTGGACATTGGTTGGTAGTTTTGTTCCCTGTTGATGGGTCCCACATCTGTGTGCGTGTGGACAGCGCTTACTGGCCCCAGTGGACTGTTAATTTGTTTTGTAAGAAGAAATGAAGTTGGGAAGGAGACGTGTGGGAAGGTCCCAGGGGAATCTGGAAGAAAATAGTGGTGGTGAACAATATTGAAATACATTGTATACATGGACAACTCTTTCAAAGAATAAACACTGTATGACAAAGTATACAGGTATACTTCCTCAAAGGATTTTTTATTTGGTGTTTTTACTGTCTGATCCAGTTGCAGCTGAGACATTAATCAGGCCGCAGTGCTGAGCCAGCTCCACCGCGGTCCCTCATTCATCCCTCACTCTGCACTGGGGGAGCGCTCACCTCCTACGCAGGGCTGCTGCAGGCTCAACTGTGTGTCTGAAGCCTGTGGGAGCAAAGGAGGTGACTGAAGGTGACTGCCAGCCAGGAACCTTTAACCTGGCCCTTGCTGCCCCTCAGCCTCATGGTGGAGATGTCCAAGGTGACACAAGTGCACCCGCTTCAGGGGACGTCACCCCTGTCTCTCACATTCCCTAGAGCTGGAAAAGGCTGGGTGCTGTCTCCAGGAGCAGCTTCCCCTGGTAACTGATGATGCGGCCGAATGCCAGCTCTTGATTGGACAGTGGAATCTGCGCTTCTTCAGTTAGGGAAATGTCTGACAAGCTAAAGGAAACTGAAGGATAGTCATGGGGGTGGGTGGGTGTTTCCAGCCCGGACCCTGAATTGTTGCTGTGATGCCTCCAGAAGCTCAGGCGAGGGTCCCCGTGGTCATCCACAGCCCAGTCTTCAAGGGAGACACTCAAAGTAGAGGCTGAGCATCCTGGGGGGAAGAGGGCGGAGCCCTGCAGGTTGAAGTCCTCGGAGCAGGAGTCTGGGGAGTGTGGAGTGTGCTGCAGGGGTGGAGCCTGGCTGAAGCAGTTTTCTGGCTTGGTGTGCAGCCCTGGGGGGTGGGGTGTTCATCTCTGCGGTGTCAGCTGGAGGTAAACCTCTTATTCCTGATGTCTCTGACTCAGTTTACCTGGTTTTATATCCTTCATCACAGATGCAGAACTGCCGTGGAAGCTCAGGGAGACAGCTGGAATTCTCACACCTGTGAAGAGTAATATCTTACAGGGAAGAGGTTTCCTTTGCATTTAGATCTCCAGTCAGCTATGTCGTGCAAAGCATCAACCGCCTTGGAGTTCAGAGTTCACACTGGGCAGATCAAAGTGCTGGGGGTTGGACTTATGACTTCATGTGTGCTGGGAAAGTGCTTGCTACAGAGCTGCAGCCCAGACCTCTCTTTTCTTAATGCAGGATTCGTTAGTTACCCAGATTAGCCTTGAACTTGTGACCCTACTGCCTTAACCTCTGGACTAGCTGAGATCACAGACTTGTTCTAAAAGGCCCATATGGGAATATTGCTAATGCTTTACCTTTTTACATATATTCACCTATTACGTGTGCGTGTGTGTGTGTGTGTGTGTGTGTGTGTGTGCATGTGTGCGTGCTTGCATGCATGCGTGTGTGTGTGTGTGTGTGTGTGTGTGTGTGTCATAAGGAGGGAGCAGCCTTATATACAGACTTACAGCACAGTAGAAAAACCCCAGGTGTAAGAGCTCATGTTTTCCTTGTGCTAGATGATGTTGATGTCAGGTGGGCAAGGCCAGGTCTGTAAGCCAGGACTAGAGAACAGGATGCACCTGTGGTTATCAGCTGACAAGCAACGCACAGAGATCTGCGGGGGCTGGGACCCAACACTGACACGCATGCACATACACACCTGCAAATACACACACACACACACACACACACACACACACACAGAGACATTGATAAGCCTGTGGACCTCATTATTCCAGTCCATCTTATAAGTAGAGCCTCCAGAATGTTGTTTTATTAGAAATAGATGAAGTATTTTAGTATTTACTGATAGTCCACACCAGATGACTAATAATCTTTTTTTTTTTTATTTTTCGAGACAGAGTTTCTCTGCATTATTTTGGAGGCTGTCCTGGAACTCGCTCTGTAGACCAGCCCGGCCTCGAACTCACAGAGATCCGCTGCCTCTGCCTCCTGAGTGCTGGGACTAATGGCATGTGCCACCAACGCCCGGTGACTAATAATCTTTTAACTGACAACAAGAAATTAATAGCAGTTATTCACATTAATGATATTTGCCTAAATAAGATCAACTTAAATATTTTATAAAATAAGGTTAGGGGGGAGTAACCCCTGCCATCACAATGTCATCTACATCATACATCAGTAAGCCCAGCACACACCTGCTGACATCGTGGAGTAATCAGAAATTAATTAGGATCTAGAAGTCACTGAGTTGCCATGTTCTGACAAACATTCCTGTTCATCATGTTGTATGAGTGCACACACACACACACACATACACACACACACAATAAATATTAAATAGTCACCAAGTTAAATACAATAATATACCTATTATCACAGTACATGAGTTAAGTTTTCTCCTGGGTAAAAATAAAGTCAGTATTTTTTTAAAGCCCTCCATAATGTTCATGATAGACAAGCCTCACACTTTCTGTGGTCTCCCTGGGAAGCGGGTGTTATACTCTGCACATGGGTCACAGAAAGATGACAAGGTGAGGAGAGTTAGCCAAGGTGGCTCCCTGGGTCAAGGTTAGCAAAGTCTAGCCAGGCAAGGAAGTCACCTCAGCCATGGCATTGACAGGAATGGGGACGGGGTGTCGGGGTGTTTGTGGTCTCATGGCTGATGGAGGGGTGCTCCTGTTGGGAGGCTGGTGCAAGCAGGAGCCCTCATCCCCAAACAAGCAGGAGCCCGACCAGGCTTTTCCCGAGGAAGGGGACTAAGGGGAAGAAAGGAAGTAGGGAATCTCCAGGAAACCCAAACAGAGGCAGTTTAAGCAGTAATTTGGAGGAAACTGAGTCTTATAGAGGGTGAAATATGGTCTTTCCCTCTCGTACACACTCCCATGTCTAAACATTCAGCGTCAGAAACTACTGACCCTGGCGAGAGAAGATCTTACTGGAAGTCCCCTCCTTTCTCAGATTACTCCCCTCGGCCAATGGGGATGAAGGCTGAGGCAGCGTCAGCTGTCTCCAGCAGACACTTGAAGCCTGAAGGGCTTTTGTGAATCTTGGGAGACACTGGGGTGAGACCGTTGATGATAACATTGTTTCAAGTTGGGGATTGGACTTGGAGGCTCACACACGCTGGGCGAGCACTCTACCCTAGCCAGGCATCCAGGCCACGTGTTGATCTGTTGAAGGCTGAGATTTTCCTTCAGTTGAAGAACTAGGACAGGAAAGCCTGGAGAGTGAGAAAAACGTGTTTGCTGAGTAATGCAAAGTATGGGGTGAGGCTGGAAAAGCCGGCCCTTAAGGTAAATAAACAGCAACCTTGCTGGAGTCTTGCTGTTTCCAAGCAGCCCAGCTGGGTTCATGAAAAACCGGATGCCTCAGCTCTGGCTGTCACAGACTTATGCTCAGTCTCCAGGGGTCTCACAGAATGAATCACCTACTTTCTACCAGAGTCTGAGTTGGGGAGCCAGACACCTTCTGATCTCACTGTAGCACAGCAGAGAGAGGAGCCATCACCTGGCTTCCCCAGGACCACCGCCAGCTGAGCACACCAAGACAGCCTGAGTCCCCAGGAAAACTTACTAAATACTAAATTACTGAGAAGTGACCAGAAATGAAATGTCTTATAGTGAAACAGAAGAAATTAATGCGCAATTTGTTCATTGTCCCAACGTCCATAGACCCATGCAGACCTAAAGCCAGCTCGAGTAACTCAGAAGGCCAGCATGGCTTGCCCACTCTGCTCTCCTGTTGTCTCCCCAAGGCTCGTGTGCTTGAAGACTCCCCAGATGGTGTTTCAGGAGGCCGGGTGTCTAGCTGCTGGAGAAGGGACACAGAGAGTATTCCACTAAGGGTATGGCCTGGCTCCCACCTCCTGGCCAGGCACTCTGGCTTCTGCCTGCTCCCCGGATTCAACCAGCAGCCTAAGACTCTGTGCTCCTTGTACACTGTCCCCTAAGTTCCTGGAAAGACATCTGGCTCAAACGCAGTCACTACCAATTGTTTCAAATACATAAATCATAATTAAGTATTGTGGTGGCTTGAATAGGGATAGCCCCCATAGGCTCATAGTTCTGAATGCTTGGTCATTAGGGAGTGGTGCTAATTGAGAGGGATTGGGGTGTGACCTTGCTGGAGCAGATGTGTCCTCAATGAAGGAAATATGTCACTGGGGTGGGCTTTGGGGTTTCAAAAGCTCAAGCCAGGCCCAATGTCTGTCTGTCTGTCTGTCTGTCTGTCTGTCTCTCTCTCTCTCTCTCTCTCTCTCTCTCTCTCCCCTGCTGCCTTGGGATCCAGATGTAGAAGTCTCACCCACGGTGTCTGCCTGCACACCAGCCTTCTTCCCACCATGATGATAACGGACTAAACCTCTGACACTCTAAGCAAGCCCCAGTCAATCAAACGCTTTCCTTTATAAGAGCTGCCATGGTCATGGTGTCTCTTCACAGCAATAGAACTGACCGAGAGAAGTATCATACATAAACCATACGTTACACATGAGTATAGTACAGGCATTAGTGGGGCTGGAGAGGTGGCTCAGTGGTTAAGAGTGCTTGCTGCTCTTGCAGACAGAGGTCAGA